CAGAATATTTATTTATTTATTTATTTATTTATTTATAAGTATTTTAGTGTTTAAAAGTTAACCCCAGGAATGGGAGAGATGGCTCAGGTTAAGAGCACCGTCTGCTTTTCTGGAGGACTTGAGTTCAGTTCCCAGCAACTACATGGTGGCTCACAACCATCTATAAGTGGATCTGATGCCCTTTTCTGGTGTAAAGGTATACATGCAGATTGTGTGTGTGTGTGTGTGTGTGTGTGTGTGTATAATTACATATAATTGTACATACACACACATAAAAAAATCTTTAAAAATAATAAGTTTGGCCCAGGGCCTTCTACATGTGTGGCCAGCACCTTATCACCGAGCCACATCTTTTTTTTGTTTGTTTTGTTTTGTTTTTGCTTTTGTTTGTTTGGTTTTAATTTTTCAAAACAGGATTTCTCTAGAGTGTAATAGTCGTAGCTGTCCTGGAACTCACTCTTGTAGACTCTTGTCTTGTTGGCCTGTATGTATGCGCACTGTGTGGATCCCCTAGGCTGGACTTGCACTTTATTAGGAGCTACCGTGTAGGTACCGGGTCCTCTGAAAAAGCAGCCAGTGCTCTTAACTGCTGAGCCGTCTCTCCAGCCCCTCTAGTCCGTATTGGGTTTTGTTTGTTAAGATTTATTTATTTTTATTGTTATGATTTAAAGATTTACTTATATGTGTATATGGGTATTTTGTCTGCATGTACATCTTCACACCAAAAGAGGGCATCAGATCCCATGTAGTTGCTGGGAATAGAACTCTGAAGAGCAACCATCCAGTGCTTTTAACCACTAAGCCATCTCTCCAGCCCTAACCCTCTGTTCAGTTTTAATGGTATCTTTTGTGTACCTCCCACAACAGTCAGGTTTGTCAGTTTGGTTTAACTAGAGTTGGAGTCACAGGTGGGAACCAAACTCAGGTGTTCTGCAAGAACAGTGTCTGTTCCTGACCACAGAGCCATCTCTCCAGCCCTAATGATCTTTTCATGAACCAAAGTGTTAGTGTTTATGAAGCCTGTTTTTTTTATTTTTTATTCTGTGTTTACTTCTGTGACTTAAATGTTGGTGTACCCACAAGTCATGAGAATATCCTTCCATGTTTAACTTTGACCTTGCATTAGGTCACTGATGACTTTCTTTGACTTAATCTTTGTATACAGCAGGGAGGGTGAACATGTATTTCTTCCTTAGGAATATCAGAATATTCCAACATGATCTGTTTAACTTCTTGCATCTCCCCTGGAATTGTTTGGTGTGTTTAGTGAAAAATCAACCATACAACTACTCCAGTGATCCCAAAAATGTTGTCATGAAACGTTTTCCCATGATTTTTCAATTGATTCACTTTCTTTTATAGGTACTTTGTGTTTCTTTTATAGGTACTTTGTGTTTTTTTTAAGTGTGTGTATATAATTCACTTACTAAGGTCTTTTTTGGGAAATGCATAACAAACGTGGCCCACTAGCCTCTTTTAAAAAGCACTTTAAAAACCTTGTCTCAAAAAACCAGAAAATCCTTAAGTACTTAAGACCAAGTGCTGGCTCACGGGCATTTAATCCAGCACTTGGGAGGCAGAGGCAGAGGCAGAGGCAGGTGGACCTCTTTGAATTTAAGACCAGCCTGGTCTACATAGTGAGTTCTGGTTCCAGCACAGCCAGGGCTACATAGTGAGACCCTGTCTTAACAAAACTTAGTGCTTAGGAACTGAAAAATTCACAAAACTCAGTGAAAAAGACTGACATGGCATTGTCTGTGTGAATCTGTGTTTGTTTTCTCTGTGATGATGCAGCTGACTCTTGAATATGACGTTTTCTTTTTTTCTTATTGGGTTTTCAAGGCTTTGATAAAGTTCAAGAGTTATTTGTATTTTGAAGAAAAAGACTTTGTGGACAAAGCAGAAAAGAGCCTGAAACAGACTCCCCATAGCGAGGTGAGTCACAGTCATAAATATGTCAGAGTAATAGTGCTTTGAAGATCTGGACTCCTTGAGGATAAAAGGCAGAGGTGGTGGCGTACACCTTCAATCCCAGCACTTGGGAGGCAGAGGCATGCCAGCCTGGTCTACAAGAGCGAGTTCCAGGATTGTCTTGAGTGAAGCAGCTGAGGCCCGCAGGTACTGAGGGATGGCAGTCAACATGGCTGCCTGCAGCTGAGAACTTGCTCTACCTGTCGCTTGTGCTCCCTGTGTCCCTGTGTTGCATCACAGTGTTCTTCTGGGACGGTAAAGGGCTACAAGGACAGTGACCTGATAAGGAGCCATGAGGGGATTAAAGAAGCCTGAGCTAGACATTCTCCTAGGAGATGCCAAGTACAGAGGGAGACCAGAACTAGGGGAGACTGGCTGGTGTCACTCAGATACCAGGGCCTGATAGCTCACTCGTGCTCTAGAACTCTGCCTGCCTTCCCTCCCAGGCACATCCCCAAGGCCAAACAAGAAAAGAGGAATGAGAGAGTTCTGTTTTGGGAGGAGAAATTATATCAGTTTAAAGCTGAAATAAGCAAGAAAAAGTTCTTGCCATAAAATAAAGTCTTTCTGATACTTGTTACAAACACGGTGCAGTGAAAGCCGAGTGTGTTGGCACATGCCTGTAAGCAAGGTGCTTATGAGGTGTAAAGCAAGAGTGAGCTGGAGGCCAGCCTAGACTACATGGGACTGTCTCAGTCCCTCCTCCAAGTATAATGTACATGGAATAACTATTGAACGGTTCAGTATCTTAAGCATGGAAATTTAAAAAGAAATGAGCTTAAAGTCAAAGGAAACATTATTATTAATTTTACTTGAAAAGCCTAGCATATAAATTGAAGGTGCTATATAAAATGTATGTTATTAAAAGGAGTAACATTATTGCCATTTGATCTGGTAACAGTATTCATTGTTCCATAACTGAGGGTTTTTTCATATTTTGTTCTTTTTTAAAAAAATCTCAAGTAAAACCTTGATCTTTGTTTCAGATAATATTTTATAAAAATGGTGTCAATCAGGGTGTGGCTTACAGAGATATTTTTGAGGGAGTTTACTTTCCGGCCATTTCACTGTACAAGAGCTGCACGGTATGTTACCCTGTGTTTGGTGTGTGGAGGGTTGTGGTGAAAGAAGCGTTGATTGGAGAAGGGAGTGACTTGTAGAAAGAAATCTGAAAGCCTCTGGGAGGCTGGACATGCACACATTCTGGATGGCTCAAGTATTTGCAGATGTCATTGTTTAACGCTAAACATACAAAGCACATGCATTCGGGGGTCATTGGTGTCGTGGTTGATTATGTAACGTGTTTACTGCCATCATTAACTATAGAAAATATATATAGTCAAGCATGGTGGTGCACACCTTTAATCCCAGCATTTGGGGTGTAGAGGCAGGCTGAATTCTCTGAGTTCAAGGCCAACCTGGTCTACACAATGAATTCCAGGACAACCAGAGCTGTGCAGTGAGACCCTGTCTCAAAAAAAGTCCTGCATGAAGGGATTATTGTTGCTGCTTGTTTGAAAAGGAAAAATTGGTACATGGAGATTTCCATGTATTAGTGTTGCTGCCTCCCATAAACAAATTAAGATTAGGGAATCTCTTGACTCCAAACAGAAATGAGTGAGAAATCTATTTCTACCTAGTGCTTGATAGCCATAAGGGTGTTGATCACTTTTAGCAATGTTAATATATATATCTTGTTTGTTCCAATCTTAGTGATATTGTTTTTACTTTGAAACAGGGCCTGCTGTGTAGTTCAGTGTAGACTCTAACCCAGGATCCTCCTGTTTCAGCCTCTAGTGTTGGAATTACAGGCATGCACCACAGTTCCTACTTCTTGCAGTTTTCCTTTAAATATCCCCTGCCAAATAAACTTCTCTTTTCTTTTTCCATTTTTTTTCCCCCTTGTCTGCATGAATTGAACTTACCCAGGTTTCCATTAACTTTGGGCCATCCTTCAAATATCCTCCAAAAGATCTCACCTATCACCCTGTGAGTACCATTAGAATGTCTGCATGCATCCTCCATGATTTATTTCTTGCTGCAGCTTTTGTAATCACTCATTTTCCTGTTTGTTTTCTATTCCTCCTGCAGATGAGCGACATGGGCTGGGGCGCTGTGGTGGAACACACGCTGGCTGATGTTTTGTATCATGTGGAAACAGAAGTGGATGGAAGGCGCAGTCCACCCTGGGAGCCCTAACCAATCCTTGCTTCAGACAGCTTTCTGTGGAATAATATCCGTTTTTGCTTTTGTTTATGAAGTGTCAAATGTTGTCCCAAAGATGCTGCCACACACTTTGCTGAGGTAAAAGAGGCTGGCTGGGTGGGACTGCAACAGATTCCCCTCCCTCAGCCTTCCCTCCCCACTTCCGCTCTTACTCTGTGAGTGCCATACATAAGTCAACAACCGCTGATTCAGAAGCTCCCACAGACTGCCTGTGAAGCTGGTGCTGTGCCGCACACCTGCCAGCAGGACTTGCTACCTTCTGTATTCTCTAAAAGTGAGCAGTCATGCCCGTGCACTAGTGTGTTTATAGGTGTTCTGAGAGTGGCAGTACATTCAAAGCCCTCTAAAAGCTATCTTTTCTAGTGTGGAGCTTGGGGGACCATGAAGCCTAGTGGGCCTCTGTGAACTGTAATTGTGAAAGGAGTTTGCCTGCAGGTTTAACAGTTAGATCTTTCCTCCAATAAAACTTGTTTGCAAGCTTGCGTGGCACTTGGCTTCGCTTGAGGTTGAGTTCCTCTTATGACTGTGAGAATGGGGTAGCGCACTGGAAGAATGGGACAGACTTCTGGCTTAGGCTTCAACCCCTCTCTTCCTCTGCGAGCAACCAGGCGTTTCTGCTGTCCTGTGGAAACTGGAATCTCAAAGAGAGCAAGAGTGTAAATGGCCTCCTAGCTCTTCTGTTTGAACCTGGTGTTGGTGTGTGCAGGGGTTCTCTTGCCAGCCTTCCTTTAGGAGGACCCCCCTAATGGCCTCCCTTTTTAACTTACGTATCTGTATTTAAAAAGCAAACCCCTAGAATGACCTAAAGACTGCCCTGTGTAGTTTTTTGTTTTGTTCATTTTTTTTTTTTAACCTAAGTTCTAGGTAAAGTGATTTGATTCCACTGGAGCTAGGTGGTATGGACCGCTCCTACTGTTCTAATTATTTTATTTTGCTATTTAAGAAATTCTCCAAGGTTCAAGTGATTAGTAACACAAATGGCATTACTATTACACTTGTCTCCTACTGAATCACCCAGACTCCTCAGTTCATCCATTCAATATCTTTGTTGTTTGTTTTTGTATTTTGAAGCAGGGACTATGTAACCTGGCTGTCTATGGGAGACTAGGCTGGTCTCAAACTGACAGAGATCTGCCTTCCTCTACCCCCCTTTGGGGGCTGGGATTAGGAGTGGACCACCACATTTGGCTTGTCCATTTACTACTGTCTTAACAAGAAACTCACTACAGAGTAGGTACTATTGTAAGCAGGGTCCCAGCCTATCACTAACACAAGGACTGGTCTGAGAAGGACAAGCCACTTACAAAGTGAGATTGTTGGAGTTTGAAGGACTCCCAAGAAAAGAATAATGTTATTAGTAGAAACTAGAGGTAAAGTTTTTGCATATAAATGTATAAATCATATGCCCTACTAAAACTAGATGGCTTTCATATGTTGGAGGTTACCAAAGTGGTGCTTTACTTGACAGTACTTAGTGTCTGGAAGAAAAAGGGCAGGTGGTAGTGAGTCACCGTTCATCACGCCAGTCAAAGGCTGAGGCAGGAGGGTTGAAATGAGTTCCAAGCCAGCCTGGACTACAGAGTGAGTGAAACCCGTTTCTAAAGAACAAATTTGAAAGGCAAAACCATAAAAAATGTGTGTACAGCTGTGAACTTGAAATGTGTTAACAAGTTTCATTTGAAAGATTCAAAAATAACTACCCATCTAGAGGTGCCTATTGATTGCCATTGACAACTAGTTTTATTCAAATGTAAAATTAAACAACGGGGTTAAAGCTTCTCAGACAGCACAGAGGCACAGTTACAGCATGGGAAGGGGCAAACGAGAGCTGAGTGTTAGTTAAGGCCTTTTTCCTCTTGAAGCCAGCGTCCTTGGTGCTGGGCTGATGATGGTGACAGCCGCAGCAGAAGAGCCCTACAGCTGCCCTTGCTGCCCTGAAGCTCCTGGGTGAGCAACAACCATCTGTGTCAAAGCAGACTGGAAAGCATCCAGAATTAATATAATAAATATCAGTTTAATAAATACCAGTGTTCCTACAGCTTCTGCTTTACTCATAAATAAGCTAGAATTCTTTACAAAAGATGGAAATTACCAATGCTACTATGACTATAAAGGACAGAAAAATGGGCTGGCAAGATAGCACTGCAGATAAAAGTGCTGCCTACCCTGACAGTGAAAAGCTTTAGTCATAATAGTTGAGGGTTTTTTTTGTTTTTTGTTTTTTTTTTTTATCCTTAACACATTCCACAAAGGAATTCCAGTATATTCATAGTTATGTGTAAAGTTTTCAGTGTGGACGTGAGTGCAAATGAGTGGAGACCAGGAAGTTTGTGGGGTCAGTTTTTCAGCTCCCTCCTTCCATTTATGTGGTTCCAGGAGTCCAGCGTGAGTTGTCAGACTTGGCAAACTCTTCTACACACTGAGTCATTTTGCCAGCCCCCAACTTAAATCTTTAAAGCATAATTTCTCCAAATCCTGGAACATAAATTTGCTATCACTGCATTGCCTTTTACCCATTTTCCCTTCAAAAATGGTAATATTTCAAGCTTTTCAAACAAGGAAGTTGCTAGCTCTGAGCCAAACTTACTAACTTATCATCACCAACTAACCTCATAAACAACAGACATAGTCTCTTTATCTTAGCATTATTGGTCAGTATTTCTTATTTGGTATTTTCCTTTTAACTAGGTAATTGAAAATCCTGTTATAATCTTCTTCATTTAGGGCTATTCACCTTAACTCTAAAGCATTTTGGTTTGTTTGTTATGATGATCTCATGCTGGTTCAAGCTTGCCTGGAACTGAGGGCAGTTCACCTGTATCATCATTTGGAGTGTTGAGATTTCAGCTGTTGAGCCATGACAACTGACTAGAGGGTTTCGTTTGTGTGTTTGTGTGTGTGTGTGTGTTTTTAATGATTCTGGGTGTTCAGCCTGTATATTTGCATGTCTGTGCACCATGTGCATTCCAGGTGTCCACATAAGAAAGCATCAGATTTCCTGGGATAGCAATTAATAGCTGTGGGGTGCTAGGAATTGAACCTGGATCCCCCTAGAAGAGCAGCCAGTGCTCCTATCTGTTGTCATGTCTCCAATCCGTTTTTGTATTTTTGAGACAGGGTCTCACTGTGTAGCTCTGACTATCCTATGTAGACTAGGCTGGCCTCAGTATTACAGAGATCTGTTTCTGACACCACACTGGCTTTTTTTTTTTTTTCTTTTTGTTTTTTTGAGATAGATTTCTCTGTGTAACAGCCCTAGCTGTCCTAGAACTAGCTCTGTAGACCAAGCTGGCCTTGCCCTTCACAATTGCTGGGGTTAAAGGCATGCATCACCACTGCCCGGGTGGCTAGAGTCTAAACAATCGAATGATAAATCTCCAGGAGTTTTGTTCCCTCTAATTACTAGGAACTCCAAACTCTGATGAAGCTGTGACCCCCAGCACAGATGCTGTGGAGCAGGACTTGACAAGGGCAGGCTGAGATTTGCATGGATGGTGCTTTATTGTGACCGAGTAAGTAGGGAAGCCAGCAGAATAACTAGTTTGTTTCTTCTTAGACAAAACTTGGAATATGCTGGGGAAGGGTCCATTTGTGGGTAGTTTGTTGTTCTGGGCCTTTTATGGAGGAGCAGGTCACTGGAGTTTCCCTGCATAAAACTGCTCTGTGCACACTGCTTGAGGCCGTGGCTTTGAGCACCCCACCTTGTCACGTCAGCTACTGGAATGGTTTAACAGATGTCTATCCCTTAATCTCCACTTCACAGCTAATCGGTGGGAGAGGCTAGAGGTCTTTTCTCAGCCTCGTTTCTATTTTCCTGATGGCCAGTTTTTACTAGCTAGTCGTAGATTCTGATGGCTATTCCTCCCGTTACACCAGCTGAAGATTTTAACGGACTTGAAGGCTTCCTGCGGGAGTCTGCTGATGGTGTACAGGTTGATGTAGTGGGCACAGTTAACACCGGGCTTCAGAGGCAGGGCTGGACTCCAGGCGCTTGCGCAGATGGTTGGCAAAGTCCATCTGGGTTTGCGATAAGACCTGGTTGATGATGGTCTTCGGCAGCCACCCCTGGAGCAGAGACAGGAACATTGGTATCTTTGTTGGTTGGTTGTTTGCTTGCTTGTTGGTTTGGGGATGGGGAGGTTTAGAGACAGGATTTCTCCGTGTAACAGCACTGGCTGTCCTGGAACTCACTTTGAAGACCAGGCTGGCCTCAAACTCAATGGAGATCTGCCTACCTCTGCCCCAAGTGCTGGGATTAAAGGCCTGCGCCACCACCGCCCGGCCTGATTTTTTTTTAATCATTTGACTAGGTCCTGGAGTCTCTAACATGCGATCTTCCTACTTCTGCCTCTCAGTACTGAAATTGTAGATACTGCACCCAGCTTTTTAGATGAGGAGAGAGGAAGCCTTGGCAAGGCTTCTACAGTGGTAAAATGGCAGGCCATATTTAAGTCCATCACCTACCCAGCAGCCTGTGATTCTATCAAAATGCAAGAGGAAGGCTGGCAAGGTGGCTGGGTGGGTCAACGCGCTTGTCTCCCAGACCTGACGTCTGAGTTAAATTGCTGGAATGATAAAGGAGGCAGAGGACCCCAAGTCACCAGTGTCCTCTGACCTCCAGGTTGCTGTGACATTTAGCGCCTGCATTCACACGTACACATCATGCACACACAGACAACAATAAGCACGTCAAGAAAAAAATGCAATAGGATTCGCTCTCCTCTCAGTTGGAGGACAAGACCATATTTCTGTCACTACTCCCTACTCCCAGGCCATCTCCCATGCCGCTTACCTTGAGGTCAATACTGAGGAGCCAAGTGAATTTAGTCTTTGAGGGACTTCCAGCCACTGGGTGAAGCACCATGCAGGTGGGACCGTGCTCGGCTCTGGGAAATGAAGAGCAGCCAAGGTAGGAAGACAAGTGAGCGCTCCACTGAGTGACACCAGCACATTGTTAGAGTCCCTTGTAGTCTAAATTTCATCAGGAAGGTCTTCACCAAAAGTACTGTTTAACAACTGGCCTGGCTACCCGCTCATCAGAACCACTGGTTCTGGAGGCCTCCTGTTATGCCCCCTGGTGGTTAGAACACAGAGAAGCCTGCTCCTTGCTTTAGGAAATGATTAAGACTGTTAGAAGCTCCTTCAAGGGTCAGAACAAACCAATTGGCCACTGAAGTAGGGCCACACTGGGCCTTACTTCCTTGTTAAAGCAGAGAGTGGGGCTAAGGATTGGTTTCTTGGACACTGCAGTCTTGAGGCTGCTGCCAGTTTTACCTGATGACACCGCTTTGTTCGGGCATCTCCCCAAAATGTGTGGCCATGCCTGCCAACACACAGGTGGAGCCTCTGCGCTTGGCACAGCGCACGCTCACAAAGTCACGGGGCCCCACCAGGTTTCCTGCTGATGCTGCAGCCAGCTCATGGGTGATCATTGTGTTTTTCCCGATCTTTTGCAGGACCTAATACAAGGGAATCAGTCAGGACTCAGCCAGTAGTGGGCTAAGGTCCCGTAGTCTGGGATGCCTTTGGCCTGTTAGACTGCTTTCTTTTGGGTCCCTGCCACCCACAGCTGCGCTTTTCCTCACCTTGATCTCCTTGACGTTTGGGTTCCACTCTCCCATAGCCTCCATGCGGTCCACAAGTTCTTCATAGAGTCTGTCCATAGGCTGGTCTACCACCACCTCCAACCGAAACACCTTGCCCACATCCGGGACTACTTTACTTAGCACTTCATCACCATTTTCCTGTTAGGGATAAGAGCCACAGGGTTAAAGGTAGAGAAAGTCACTCCTAGCCTAGGCCTTAGACAGTACTGGGAAAGGGAGCAGCAAGTCTCAGGTGAGCATCAGGGACCTGGATCTCTACCTGACGAGGATCCCGTCAGGAAGCACTGCTGCCCACTTGTATAGCTACTCAAGACTGCCTTGTCTTGTTGATGAGTGTTGGCAGCAACTGAAATGACCCAGATTCCAAAGCTCAGAGTCCAAAAGACAGACCTGGAGTGTAAAACGCTCGGTCTGCAACTAGCCTGTTATATAGAGGGAGCAATGGGGCTTTTGTTTGCTTGTTTTGATCATTCAGTATATGTCATTTCACTTCATAAGAATGTGGAGCCAGGGGCTGGAGAGATGGCTCAGAGGTTAGGAGCTCTGGCTGCTCTTCCAGAGGTCCTGAGTTCAATTCCCAGCAACCACATGGTGACATACAACTATATAATGAGATCTGGTACCCACTTCTGGTGTGCAGGTATACATGCAGGCAGAACACTGTATAGGTAATAAATAAATCTTTTTTTAAAAAAATAAAAATAAAAAAGATTGTGGAGCCAGAAAGTTTCAGTGATTTGCCCAGGGACCCTTAGCAAAGAGCAGTGCTGAACCTGGATCCCAGATTTTTTTTTTTACTCCTAAACTATTAGTCTGTTATTTCCATTACTGTAAGAACTTGAGCAACAAGATGTTTCATCTAAACTTTAGTTGATGGATAGTGTGTAATCTTTTGCTGGAGATAAGGTAGATCTAATAGTAGAGCTACTGGTTTTAACTCAAGTCTTGTTACTGGCTGGGCAGGGCTTCAGACGATACTGGACCGCTTTCATATACTCCAGCCTTACGGCAGGGTGAGCCCACATTCCTCCCTGCAAGTCCATCCACAGGCTGGGCTGAACAGTACGAACATACTCTTAGCATGGGAGGGTTTTCATACTGGGTAATCTGTCCCCCAGTGCACATGGAGTCTCCACAGTGGGCGGTTTCTATTGGGTGAATGTACAGCATTTGGAAGGTAGTTAAACAATAGGGACAGTGTTTCTCAACCAGGTCTTATGGCAGGAGGGTTATCTGAGAACATACTGTGTGTTGGTTTGTTTTGAGACAGGGTCTCACTATTCCCCTGGCTGGCCTCAAACTCCCAGCGATCCCCTTTCCTCTGCCTCCTGAGTGCTGAGATTAAAGGTGTGCGCCTTCACTCCAATTTGAGAATATATTTTTAGGAGAGTCCTCAAAGCTACTTGGCTGCTTATCAACCGTGAATGAGGTAGGAATCCCAGCTGAGCACAGGCAGTGGGACAATCAGTAGCTCCAGGTTTCTCTCAGCCACCCTTCCTTACCTGCTGGGTCTCCTTCTTCCAGCCTTCCTGGTTGCTGAGGATGCCCAAGGCCTTCTGCATAGCCACCTCTCCCTGCTGGATGTAGGACAGCTCCTGCTCACTATAGAGTGCCGCTTCCAGCTGAGAACCTGTATGCATAGCCATGGAAAGAAAGATCCTCAGCTCTCATCTCTTTGCCTTCTGAATGTGCTCAGTCCTCAGAAGAGACAAGATCAAAGGGGTCAGGTCCTGTCTGAAGGTCAAGGTAGATACAGGAGTTAGGTAGCCATGGGCAGGGGAACAGGTCTCATGAGCAACATTTGTACCCTAAAGCCCCATCACTCCCTGAAGCCCAGAAGCCCCAACACTTACCAAGCAGTGAGCTCCGACGCCGAACCTGACTGATCCACCCAGGACTGGCTTCTCCCAGTGTTCTCCGGTTCAGCTCCTGGCCAATGGCCAGCACAGCTTGGTGCCTCAGTCCTGCAGAGAGGAAAGTAAAACTTTTGCCAAGGACTAGAAAGTCCCTTAGTGAGGGGCCGTCCAGTCCACTCATCACAGAGGAGCAAACTGGCTCAGAAACAGGTGTCAGCAGGGACCTGAGACAGCCACTTCTTTAAATCCAAGTTCAGTGTTACACTTCCTCCAGCACTTCGGGCCCAGGAATCTCTTTTTTCATCTTGGGAAATAAGGGTGGGCTAGTCAAACCTGGCCCTACTAGGCACAGAAGTTTACCTGAGCCTATTGTAAGCTAGAAAAGGGCTGTCCAGTGAGCTACTGGATATGGAATAGGATACATCTGTCTCCTGAGGTTTACCCCACTCCCAAGATCTGCCTCGAATGTACCGTGATAAGAGCCCCCACTCCCCCGCCCCTTTGCCTTGTACTTCTGCCGCCCAACTTTCCTGTCTTTTTCTTATGCTCTTCCCAGACACTGTTTAAAAGCCAAGGCTGGCTTCCACATTTCTCTACCACCAAGATTTGCCCGAGACCCTTGGTATAGCCTGGTCCAATCCTGAAAGAAGGCAACATCAATACTAGAAAAACCAGAAAAACTAGGGTCCTAGAGCAGAGGCCAGAAATGATAGGGTTTGGGTGAGATGGGGCATCTTACTATCCAGCCTCATTTTTTCAAGTGAAAAAACAGATCCAGAGGGACAAAGATTTCCCCAGGCTCACCCAGGAAGAGGCACAACTGGGACCAACTGAAGCCTAGGTGGCCTGTTCCCCCTCCAGGATCTTTCCATAGTCTTGGCAATCGCTCACGTTCCCCCCCCCCCCCACTCACCTTTCATGTTCCGCATGTGTCTGTAGGAGCTCCCAGCACACAGCTTAAATGTGGCTAGCAACATAGTTTTCTGGCAGATGTGGCAATGTGGCTGCACTCAAGGGTTTGCTCTCCCTGAACCGTTCAAGGTCTTGAGTCCTGCAGCTGTGGTTTGAACCAAGCGCTCTGCCTTAAATGCTTCCAGCGGAAGGCTGTGCATCATCGCTTGGAGATAAAAAAGCCATCAGTCACTGTGCAGAGGGTCAAGGATGGAATGATTGCCTCACACCGCAGTGATGGCCAAGGTTGGAGGGGGCAGAGTGCGTAGAAGGGAGCAGAGGGCCGGGCTCAGGGATGGAGGAAACAGGCCACTGGGATGGGGCAGTTGGACAGAGGGCATACAGCTTCTCAAAAGTTTTAAATGCAAACTTTCAGCCCCATCCTCAAGCTCTAGATTCAGCATCCACTGACCAAGGTGGGTCACTTCTATATAAGAATGCTGGCGGAGAGAGTGAGCCAGGGTAAAAGAACCAAAGAGGAGTAAATTAACAGTACAAGACCAGAGCCAGGTATGGTGGCACATAGCTTTAATCACAGCATTCTGAGGCAGAGGCAAGTAAATTTGTCAGTTCAAGGCCAGGCTAGTCTACATTTTAAGTTTCAGGAGAGCCAAGGCCTATCTCAAAAAAAAAAAAAAAAAAAAAAAAAAAAAGACCATGAATCAGGCCTGGAGGGTGACAGTGATCAGCTCAAAAACAAAAGCAATAGCCTAAGTCCTTGGGTTGGCCTTGGTTCCTTCTACCAGTGTCCTCCCGAACACCCTGTGTGTTCAACGGATCATTTATTTGCATTCTAAGTCCTCATTTCAGGAGACTGGATAGGTCAGCCCATTCTGTAAGCTCCCTAGCTGAGAGTAATGCGGCCCAGGCTACATGCTGCTGCTGCCTTGCCCTTTCCTCATGCAGCTGGGCCAGCCCTGCTCCAGGACTTGGCCTGTGCGGAAAGGTGGGAACGACAATTTACTTGGATTATCTACTATCGGTTTTTGCCGACGGGATCCTGTGGTACTGGACACAGACCCATGGAGCCTTTGAAGTGCCTCTGTTATTCCCAGGCATGCCCGGCAGGGACAAAGCTCTAGGTCCCAGCATTGCTCTGCCAAGAGCTCTTCCTTTCGAAGGTGACTTGAGGCTGCTTCTAAGTCAAACTCCTATGGCAAGAATGTTGCCAACAGTCTCATTAGACTTGCCGGTCCCCCAATCCTGCAGCTGGCATTTGACTTCTGTATCCATTCACTACTGTGCCGAGTCCGGACATGATCCACCCCCACCCCTGTCAAGGATAAAAGGACATACATGGAACCATACAGGATAGCTGAGTCCTACAGCCCGCCTACATTTCCGTCCTGGTCCCTGAGACCCACCCTCTGTAACTCCTCTTCTGCCAGTGTTCATCCATCCTGGCTTTCCAGTAGCCCGTCCCTGATCACGCCCTCCCAGTCAGTGCCATGGAAAAGGTGTAGCCCGGTGCTTGATTTATGTGTGTGTGCCTGTCTCTTCTGTGGGGTTGTTTTAAGACAGTGTCTAACCTGGGCTGTCCTCAAACCTGCTAGTAGCTGAGGGGAGCCTTGAAATCCCAATTCTCCTGCCTCTGTCTCCCAAGTGCTGGAATTACAGGCAATGCGCCACCATCATCGTCTTCTATGGGATTACGTCCCAGACACAGGTATTGCTTCCCTCTCCAACCCTGCTGCTGGCTCCAGCACTCAGTTCTTATGGGGACAGAGTGGATTCTTTCTCCTCCATGGAGGAACGGCTTAGGGAAGCAGCAAAGGGAACAGGCACATCTTTGGCCCATGAAGCCTGCCTGTATGTAAGTGCTGCTTCCGGCCCTCAGGGAGTCCCAGGGAAGACAGGCCTGCTGTTCCTCTGCAGCCTGTGCTTAGGCAGTGTGTGTTGGCTGCCCTAGCTTCTCCGCACCTATTGCTTGGTACACGTGCAGCCTCAGACACACGTGGATCTGCCTTCCACTAAGGTGCTAGGGAGTTGGGAGGGGGTTACGTGGGACAAGCCGCGCAGATAATGTTCAAGGTCCCGCTATTGCTATTCTGTGGAGAATTATGGCATTCAGAGGAAGGAGGGGGGAGTGTGGGCAGACTGGAACACTGAGGCATACAGCTGTTGCTGATGTCAGAGGCAGCCACTGACTCAGGGAGGGGGTGTCCAATGACCTCCCCCAGGGCCAAGGCTTGCCTCTGTTCCTTCCCTGGCTGCATGACTATTTAACTCTTGCTGGTCCTCTGAGTGAAAAGGTCAAGAAAGGTCTGGGAATGTCCTCAGATCCTGGGCATCTAAATCTGGTTTTCCCTTTTGATTACAGCACAGCCTACATGGAAGGAGACCAGATGGACAGAGCAGGTAGGGAGAGGGGGCAAGGCTTTGGAGGAGAAACGGGAACCTCATTAAATACTCAACCAGCTGACACTGAATGTCCCCTAAGACTCTACAGTTATGATCCTATGAGTATGACCATACGATTCACAGGGACTCCAAGGGGAGGTATTTTAGCAGTACAGGAGGGAGAAAGGAACACCACATAGAAATCCTCCTGCCTCTGCCTCCCCAAATGCTGAGATTAATGGGTTCATCACCCCAGCCCATTCTTCCTGCCTGCCCCTTGAGTTCTGGGATTAAAGGCCAGTGCTACCATGCCTGACTTTCTTAGGGGGCAGGGAGCATGCTATTTCTTTAAATTTTTACTTTGTATTTGCCTTCAATGTATTTCTGTGTACCATCTGTGTGCCAGGTGCTCATGGAATCCCAAAGAGCGCATCAGGTCCACTGGAATTGGAGTTAACAGTTGTGAACTGTTAACTATGTGGGTGCTAGGAACCAAACTGGAAAAAAGTAGCCACAGCTCTTAACCACTGAACCTGCACCATCTCTCTAGGCCTTCTTTAAGATGCCTAGGGAGTTCGCTATGTTGTGGAGGCTGGCACTGCCTCCACTTCCCTGGTAATTAGAAGTTCCAGGCGTAAACCCACTTAGCTCAAAATATGCATTGGATTCTAGGCCACTTGGTAAATGTCAAGACCTCCTGGACATGAGTCTCTGGAGTGACGCCATGCAAGGTGAAGGGTGGACACTGCAGCTGCTCCCTGGAAGGCAGCTGCAAGCACTGGCCACAGGGCCCTATCTCCCTGGCTGACCCTTGCTTCTCCAGATGTGTCCTCAGATACTTTGACACAAATTCTTTACACCCTAGGCCTGTGGCCTACAGCTAAGGCAGTCCTGGGGAACATCTGTGTAATTCACCTGAGGCCTGTGGCCTACAGCTAAGGCAGTCCTGGGGAACATCTGTGTAATTCACCTGAGGCCTGTGGCCTACAGCTAAGGCAGTCCTGGGGAACATCTGTGTAATTCACCTGAGGCCTGTGGCCTACAGCTAAGGCAGTCCTGGGGAACATCTGTGTAATTCACCTGAGGCCTGTGGCCTACAGCTAAGGCAGTCCTGGGGAACATCTTCTGTGTAATTCTCTAACCTCCTGACTGACCTCACCTTTTGGCTCACTACCGGTCTCTGAAATGTCTGAGTCAACTTGAAAGTGACCACTGTATTTTCACCCATTTATCTGTCTTTTGTTTTTCAAGACAGGGTTTCGGTTTAATAGCCCTGGCTGTCCTGGAACTTGCTCTGTCGACCAGACTTGGCCTCGAACTCAGAGATCCTCCTGCGCCCTGGTGTGCACTGCCATCGCCAGTCTGGCTTCAACAGCTTCCCAGTGAGACCTACTGTTCCAGGCGTCATGCAGATGCTGGGGCTGCAAGACGGAGCAGACAGAAAACTCCACTCTGCTACATGATTTGGCTGAGACAGGGTCTATGTAGTCCTGGGACTATGTAACCAGGCTTGCCTCACACTCAGAGGTGCTCTTGTCTGTCTCCCAAGGCACATGCCATCACCACCTGGCACCCACCCTGCACATTCTAAGCACTCTTACTGAGCTATATCCTCAGTCCAAGGACAACAATTTCTTCAAATAGTTATCTACTGTAAAACCAACCAAAAATGAAGAATTAACATCCAAATGGCCTACAGGTATCTGGGGCAGAATTTTTAAATACCTAAAACCATAAACCAAGTATATTTCATATTACAGTATAAAATAGTCCACAGAGATCTTATGGAAGACTCCCATTGTCAAAAGATTATAGAAAGGAAGTATCTCAGATAACTAAATTACTGAGAAGCATTTCAATGTGCCAACTAACCAGTTTTTCTGCTGTTGCTTCATTCCTCATTCTGCCTGTTGTCTACTAACGACACTGCTTTTCAAGTGTCATGAGTTACACTTACTACATAATTATTATTTTCCAACAAAAAGTCCGCACGGTGGTGTCAGTAGTTACTAAACAGCAAAAGATGATCAAACTTAAGTGTAAAGGATTTGGAAACCTAGCTAAATTAACAAGACTGAGAACAGAGCACATTATGAAAATATTCTTTCTTATGAAAAATAGTTTAGAATAGTTGTGGGTAAAGCGTGATTTAAGTTTTTTTAAACAAGAGGTTTCTGTTGTAACTAGTTCCTTGAAAAATCCCTTCTTAATCTTGAAACTTGATCAGATTTATGTGAATGGGGAACCAACAAGACAGTATGAAAATACGTCTTCCAGCTGGACGGTGGTAGCACACACTTTTAATCCCAGCACTTGGGAGGTAGAGGCAGGCAGATCTCTGTGAGTTCCAGGCCAGCCTAGTCTACAAGACCTAGTTCCAGGACAGATAAGACTGTTACAGAGAGAAACCCTGTCTTGAAAAACCAAAAACCAAAAAGAAAAGAAGAAAAGACGTCTTCCCGAGCAGATGGCTTGGAACTGTGATGGCAGGGGACCTCATACTTGGACCTTCTGCAGCAGGGAACTGTCTTTTCACCAGAGGTAACTCTATTTTGTGAAATAATATGACACAAGAGATTCATTCTTTATTTACAGTAAAAGGGAAATATCTTTTGAAAAGAAATGTAAACTCTGAGATAAGAAAAGCAATACCGAGACGTGATTCTCAGCTCCACAAGCCACTGTTTCTCTAAACCACAAAGCAGGGCAATGGTGGAGCACACCTGTGATCCCACAAGCTGATGTCAGCCTGGTCTACATAGTGAGTTCAAGGTCAGCCAGGGCTACAGAATGAACTGTTTGAAACAGAAAAGCAAAATGAAATATACAATTATTTTGTTAAAAAAAACAAAATCACATGATTTCTTCATGTTGGCATATGTGAAAGAATAAGATCAGTTTTCACGTTGACAGTCTCTGTCTGGTCAAATGTGAACGGTGACTGGGTGAGAGCCCTTGCTCTCTAGAGCACAGGACTCAGTACTCATCCAGAGTATCTGCTCGAGGGATGGAGAGGCCCCGATCTTTAAGGGCCTGAACCTTCAGCTTCTCTGCCTCCAGTCTGGTCTGCTGTTCTACCCTCTGTTCTTCTAGGATCTCTTCAATAGACACTTGCTGGAGGGGTGTGTCACTCTCCTTTTCCAAGTCCTGCAAAATAGGTAGGTTTGAACTAATTCTCATGAAGGCCAGAATACAAAAACTTACAGAGTCTAGTATGTAGCTTGGACTGCTTTTCTTAACTGTGATAAGGCTGAAATAGCCTCCTGCAGACAGACAGGCAGTAACACTGCTGCACAACATATACCACTTAGAATGCACACACAGAGGTAGGCATCAGCGTGCACAGCAAGTCCCATGTTAGTCAGGTTAACACACAATGGACAGAATGTTTGCTGTGCACTTGAGAAGACCAGGACCCACATAAAGCTGGACACAGTAGTACACTCCTATGATCCCAGTGCTCCTACAGGGAGCTGGGAAAATAGATGCACTGGAGGGCCAGTCAGCCTGGGGTACACAGTGGAAAGAGAACCTGTCTCAAATAAGGTGCAAAATGAGCACTGATACCCAAGGTTACTTCCTCTGACCTACAGGCACACCTCATAGTCCTCCCTCTCTTTCCTCCTCTTCTTTTGTAGTGTTATACATGCTACCAAAGCACCCACTTCTGAGCAACATCCCCTGCCCTATTCTGAATTTCAAAGTCTCACAGGGACTTTGATTTTGCTAGCAAACACGATAGGATTTGAAGTTTAAATAAAGTACTAAAAAACAAAACTAAATGCTTCAAACATACATGTATATATAAACACATACAATTATAATCATCTTCTAATGTGTATATACACAAACATTGCAAGCAATAATACTTCAGATGCAATTTAACATTCCACTCACTATCTGGTCTTCCTGGCACATTCCACTCTCCTCCCTGGTCTTGAGTTTCACTTTGAAACCTCAGTGAATAACTTTTCCAATACCTATTGTTTTCTTTTTCCTTTAAAAATCTATACAATACTTTCCTCAAATGTTGTCAATTAGCTTCGCCACAAAAAACTACTTGTAACCAATTATTTTATTTGTTTTTTATAATTATGTATTTGTTGGGGATGATATGTGCATATGAACAGAGGTATCCTGGGATCTCCTGGAGCTTGAGTTATATGCAGTTGTGAAATGGGAACCAAACTCAGGCCCTCAGTGAGAATAGTATGTACTCTTAATCACTCTCTCCATCTCTCCAACTCCTAACCAATTATTTAAATAATTGAAATATTCCAACATGTAAATCTTGTTTTCAGAGGTAGACAAGGATTTTACCATTGTGATATACTCCCAGTTCTAAATTATACCTTTATAAATAGAACATATAATTTAAAGTCTATAACGTCTTGTTATTAGATGATTTAAAAATTACATGAATGATCAATGTATTTGTTATTTTTTCTTTTTTGGTTTTTTTGAGACACTTTTTCTTTGTGTAGACCTGGCTGTCCTAGAACTCGCTCTGTAGACCAGGCTGAACTTGAACTCACAGAGATCCACCTGCCTCTGTCTCCCAAATGTTAGGATAGAAGGTGTGCACCACCGTCCAGCTGTTTTGTTCTTTTGAAAGAGGGTATTTATTATATTGGCGCCCAGGCTGGCCTGGAACTCACTATGGAGCACAGCTTAGTTTCAGACTAGAGGAGTTCCACCTCCCCGAGCTTCCCAGCTGCTGGGATTATAGACACAGCCACCACACCCAGCAACACTGTTTCTTCCTTTCCAGATGAAAAACCAGGGACCACTTCACAGATGTGTGTGTCATGCATGCACAGGGGCCACACCAATCTCTATTATCCCAAACTTAGTATATGTGCTACCAAAGTGAGAACCAACAACATTGTTTTCTATCAGCTAAAATCAACAATATTCTGCTAGTGAGATTAAATCTTTAAAATGCCAAAAAGGCAATGGAATGATGGTTAGTTACCTTTTGTAGTGTTGCTCTGGCAACTACAGCTTCCCTATCTGGTAGGTTCTTGTGTGAAGCTTGCTGAACTCAGGAAGAAACCAGCTAGCATCAGTGCCCAGACCCACAGCAGCTCAACAGTTTTCACTTACTATTTCTCCGAGTAGGACCACATTTTCTCCTCTGACCACAAAAATCCCTCGAGGAATATCACCATACTTTTTGCCCACATGAATGCGCTCTACGGTCTGATGCAGCACTAAGTTGGCTACAAGAACATAGAGAAGAAACAGATTCAATTATTTAGCTATTTTTAAATTTCATTGATTACAACAAACCATTTAGGAGAATTTTTGAGGTGGGGGGGTGGGGGAGGTAGGGTCTCATTCTAGTCTCACCTGGCCTAGAAATCACAATGTAATCCAGGCTGTTACAGAATTTGAGATGATTCTCCTGCCCAACCTCTTATACATGCTGTGATTATAGACAGGAGCCACCATATGTTCAAACAAGTAGAGAGTATTTCCCATTATGTTGGGCTAATGAATGAATGATGGTAGAAATAAGTTACTTCTGTATTATTTAACTGCTAGTATCAACATGGTCCCTAGAGAAATAGAAAGGAATGGAACTCTGGAAAACCTAAGCTTAAACAATTGTCAAGATTAAAGTTCTGCTTTTTTGGAAAGAGAATTTTTCTTTGTTGTGTGAATATACGTATGTGGTGACTTCACTGAGGTTTAATTTTTGTTCAGTAATAATGATGCATGCAATCCAATGTTTCTTTTATAGATTATGACACAGCAAGATTCGTTCTTCGCCGTTGTCAGATAATTGGACCTGGTAATCTCAATATTCATTATTTATCCCTTCGAAACACTGATGAATTTAACTTAAGATTTAGAACACCAACCTGTAGGGATATTTTTCTTCTTTCAATTAGTACTATTTGTCTTACTTGAAGTAAAACAGAAATTGATGTGTGGATCTTATTGTTTTGGCTTGAGATGGTTCTTGATCTGTTTCCAAGGTAATTGTTTTGCCTCAGCCTAACAAGTATGAGACTATAGGCGCGTGGCTGGCTGTTTGTATCTTCTGAATTCTGGTGTTTTAGCTTCATTTTCCCGCACATTCAAATCCAGTGATCTAGCAGATCATGACCTACCAATGTGTGAACTGAGAAACAAATCTCTTACTTCAGAAAATGCAGATTGCAAAATGAAGACTGGCTCCTAAGTCTGGTGTACTAATATGTAAACTATTGAGTTACTCTCCTAAATCTGGTACACTAATATGTAAGCTATTGAGTTACTCTCCTAAATCTGGTATATTAATATGTAAACTATTGAGTTACTTCTCTCAGCAAGTTTCAGGAATTGGCTTCTACTCTATTTTCTCTGGACAGGGAGGGATTACCCAGGAAATGATTTGAAGACTAACTTTTTCTGTCATTTGGCTCCCTCTAATGGGGAAAATAAAAACACTAGTGAAAACCAGTTTTAGAATACAAACTCATAAATATACAAGCTTCTGAAACACCTAATCATAATTTGAAAACAATTTACTCACCCCAAACAGTTCTATTTTTCTGACCCATGAGAAAAGTTAGAGATAAGTAAATCTGAATATAAAGTGATACCAAAAAAATTCAATAGAATTAAAGAGTAAGATTGTAAGAATACATACCAAACTGATCAATGCTTCTTAAAAAACCTATCAGTGTCCTTCCATCACGAAGTAGGACCAAGTGTTTTTCTGGGGAAAGGAGAAAAGATCTTTAAAACGAAAACTGTCAGTTTCAGTGAGCTCATATAGTAACAATAAAAATTCAGTTAATAGCATTTAAACTGTACCAGACGCTCTTCTAATGTATTTAGGGTGGAATTCATTGTAAGACATGGGAGGAAAGACTAGGCAGCCTGGGGTTTAGATGAGATCAGCCCTGGAAGACTCAGAGTAGTACTGTAGTTAGAAGAGGACACTAAGCAGTCTGGAAGGGCTCAAACAAGAACTAAAGAAATGCAGGCATATTAAGATTTGATAATGGCTTAGAACAGAAATTCAATTAAAAGCTTTACAACAAAATATATGTATTGTGCTTGTGTCTGTGTACATGTATGTACAAACCAGAAGGCAGCATGAGATTCATTAGCACTGGAGTTACAGGCAGTTCCCAGTGAACCACTTTTGTGGCTGCTGGCATCACTCTGGCCCCCCCAGAGGCGTATGCACACTTAATCACTGAGTCATCTATCCAAACCAGGGGTTCTCTACCTATGGGTCTCAACCTCTGGAGTTGAAAGGCCTTTTCATGGGAGTCACATATCAGATAATTACATTACAATTCATAATAGTAGCAAAATTGCAGTTATGAAGTAGCAACAAAAATAATAATTTTATGGTTGGGAGTCACCACAACATGAGGAATTGTATTAAAAGGTCGCAGCATTAGGAAGGTTGAGAACCACCGGTCTAAACTATTCTGAAGTCTGAAAGTCATCAACCTTATGAGTCGGTATTTATTGTAGCAGGAAAACAAGAAAACTACCTCATGTGATAATATAGCAGAGTAATATACAAGACAACATGCTAGCAGGATGAAGGACACACCAAAGTGGCTAAGAAAATGGGCGGGGGGGTGCTCTGAAGAGACAGATAACTTTAAGGATTCAAATAAGTCACCTATTAGAAAAGCATGCAAGATTTTAACCATTCGTTTCTTTAATTCTATGCAAAAAGCACTTTAGGATTTTTTTGTTCTTTTTTTTTTTAAAGATTTATTTATTTATTATGTATACAACATTCCTTCCATGTATGTTTGTATGCCAGAAGAGAGCACCAGATCTCATTATAGATGGTTGTGAGCCACCATGTGGTTGCTGGGAATTGAACTCAGTACCTTTGGAGGAGCAGGCAATGCTCTTAACCACTGAGCCATCTCTCCAGCCCTGTTTGTTTGTTTTTGAGATAGGGTTTCTCTGTGTAGTTCTGGGTATCTTAGAACTTATTCTGTAGACCGGGCCGGTCTTGAATTCACAGAGGTTCACCTGTGTCTGCCTCCCAAATGCTGGGATTAAAGGCATGTTTCACTATGTCTACCTCAAAATTAAAGTCCGTAGACCAGGTCAGATGTAGCAGTGAATGCCTCCCCACACCTACAGGGTTTCTCTGTGAAGCCCTGCCTGCCCTGGAATGTGCTCTGTGTAGACTAGGCTGGCCTCAAACTTAAGAGACTGGCTGCCTTTGCTGAGTGTTAGAATTAGAAGTGTGCATCACCTACTTCTCAGCATAAAGTACTTTCTATATGAAGAGAAATGATTCTTCTCTAAAGGAATTTACAGTCATATTAGGCTACAATTAAATATTATAAGAAGCAAATCACCGGGCAGTGGTGGCGCACGCCTTTAATCCCAGCACTCGGGAGGCAGAGGCAGGTGGATCTCTGTGAGTTCGAGGCCAACAGTTCCAGGACAGGCTCCAAAGCTACAGAAAAACCCTGTCTCGGGGGAAAAAAACAAAAAAAAAAAAACAAAAAAAAAAAACAAAAGGCAAGCAAATCTTAATTAAATAAGACTTAAGAAAGAAACTACACGTATCCCAGTTGGACCTTGAAGGATAAGTTTTGGATATAAGAAAGGGAAAGTGGAAATAAAAAGATTAGAGAAATCTAACAAATAAATTAAGCATAAAGGGGAAAAGTAGTATATTAACATTTGGTTCAAAGATAAAAAAGAACAGGAGTTAAAGTTAGAAGAAAAGTATTGGAGGCAAGCTTTAACTTCAAAAGGAATAAGAAAACACTCAAGACTGGTAATATGGAAAATAGGAGTTAGGATGCTCAAGTATGTCTAGAATGTCTACAGATTTAGAGAAAACGGACCAAACAACTCAAACCACCTGTTTGAGAGAACAGTAATGTCCAGAGATAAGAAGATTAGCAAGAACTAGTGTTAGAGAAACCAAGAAAACAATTGAGGGCTGGTGAGACGGCTCAGTAGTTAAGAGCACTTACTGATCTTCTAGAGGACCCAGGTTCAGTTCCCAGCACACATATCAGGTAGCTCACAATTTCTAAAACCTCAGTTACTGCATGAACATGATGCACATAAACTCGTACTTAAAAACAAACACAAATTGGGTATAAAAAAGAACCCAATACAGAATACAATGAACAATGCTGCAGAGAGAACTTGGAAAGAATCAGTTGAGGACACTGCTACTCTTGCAGAAGACGAGGTTTGGCTCTCTAGTAACTCTAGTTCCAGGGCATCTTTTGGTATCCTGCACACATGCACTGCATAAAAATTCATCACTCATGTAGGCACAAACATATATGCTGAAACAATAAGTAAATAAATCTTTAAAAAACTCAGAAAAAATACACATAAGGATAAATAAACAAATCTTTTAAAAACAATACAACTTCAAGCCAGGCATGGTGGCCCATGTCTTATAATTTCAGAATTTTAGAGACACTGAGATAGAAGGAATGCAGTGCGTGTGTGTATGTATGTGTGCAGTTATATTTTGTTTGTGTTCTAACAAACAAAGCTTGCCTGAATGAAGATCAGAGTACAGAGCTAAGCCACTAGAGGCCAGGCAGTGTGGCATACACCTTTAGTCCCAGGACTTGGGAGAAAGAGACAAGATGGATCTCTTGTTAGTTCAAGACCACCTTGGGCCACCTGAAACTGATCCAGTCTCAAAGAGCCAGGTGATGTTGGCCCACAGCTTTAATCCCAACATGAAGGAGATGGAGATAGGAAGGGACGTGGCTGGGGGAGAGAGGAATACAAGAGCTCAGTGCAGTCTGAGCACTGGGAGAGGTAAAAGAACTCTGTAGTGGCTGGCCTCTCTGCTTTTCTGATCTTCTGTATTAATCCCTGTATCTGACTCTGGGGAATTAATGTTTTTGCTTGTACTTGTTTGAAGCTGTATAAATTGTCTTGCTTTTGAAAAGTCACAGGATTAAAATGATTTTAAAACGCCGCTTACAGACTAGAGCGATGGCTCAGCACTTAACGAGACTTGGCTCCTCTTTCAGAGGACCCAGATTCGAATCCCTGCACCCACAAGGTGGCTCACAACCACCTCTAACTCTAGTGTCAGAGGATGCTATGTTCTCTTCTGGTTTCCCCAGCACCAGACAAGCACACAGCGCACAGACATACACATCTTTTTTTTTTTTTTTAATGCTGCTTAAAAATACTATTTGAAAAGCCAGACAGTGGTGGTGCATGCCTTTAATCCCAGCACTCAGGAGGCATAGGCAGGTGGATTCTGTTGAGTTGGAGGCCAGCCTGGTCTACAAAGGAAGTTCCAGGACAGCCAGAATTGTCACACAGAGAAATCCTGTCACAAACCACCACCACAATAGCAAAACACAACTTAAAAAAAAAAAAAGGGCGGTTTAAGGAATCATACAAAGGTAAGAATTCAGGGTGGGAGGAGAATTCAGGGGGAAAATTTAAAGTGGAGGCTCAGAAGGGCATTTGTTGCTATTGTAGATGATGAGTTTGGTTCCCAGCACCCACACTGTGGCTCACAACAGTCCATAACTCCAATTCCAGAGGATTTGGTGAAGATGAAATTGTGGTCAGGTGGTGGCGCACACTTTTAATCCCAGCACTCAGGAGGCAGAGGCACGCGGATCTCTGTGAGTTCGAGGCCAGCTTGGTCTACAAGGGCTAGTTCCAGGACAAGCTCCAAAGCTAAGGAGAAACCCTGTCTCGAAACAAAACAAAACAAAACAAAAAAACCCAAACCAACAAAAAAGATGAGGTTGCATCCTCTTGGTTTGTACAGTACTGACCTATTTTCAGTAAAAGCAAAACTGTCCAACAGAAAAAAATGTGTGAAGGGACTTAGCCTTTCTAGAAAAGTCAGCTATTACGTCCGACACCTGTCTCTACTACAGCTTTAATCTGAAAGAACTAACGACCCTCATAGAAAGAGCAGACCGCAAGTGGCTCCACAACAGAAAGCCTGCGCTGAGCGCCAATTAAATTCAACTGCTGCTGTCTTCACATTTTCGGGTCTTGGTGGGCCCTCCTAGGAGCAACTCTCGTCCATCTACCGTCAAAGAGAACTTGGAAACACTGCAGCGAAAGACAGGGCACGCGGAGGAAGTCGCCTGGGCCACTTCACAGTTTGCACGTCGGATGCTGCGCCCCTCGGAAGGCGTTCCACAGCTGGTGCCCAGGGCCAGAGGAGGCAGGTTAGGGATGGGCACCGAGGCCGGGAAGGCAGACCACCCTGCCGGGGCCCGGGACTCACGGGGAGCCCACTCGAGAGAGGGTCCCACGCCAGGCTTCTCCCGGGGAGAGCTACTCACTGTCGATGTCCTCGATGAGGCTGGCGGTCCCGGGCATATAGTTCATTTTGAACTCAGGCAAAGCTGCACCGGTGGGCGAGGGCGTCCAGTCGCCCGTCGGCGGGCCGCGGACGGGAACCCGCCGCTCACCAACAACTCAATTGCCGCTAGTCGCCGGAAGCGTTTTCAGGTTACCCCACCCACTTCCGGTATCGCGTGTCCGTCCACAGAAAGAGGCGTTCCGGGCGTGCGATAGCGGGCAGCGTTTCTTCCTCCCTGAGCAGTGATGTGGAGTCCAGGTCCGGCGGACGGAGGGCGGAGGACAGGCGTTTCCTCCCGCGTGACAAACGCGGCGCCTCTCTTCGCTTCCCTCCTCCGAGACCCGGAGTACGGGCTCTGGTCCATCTCCGCCCGGCGCTCGGCGGGCAGGGGGCGGGACTGGCTCGGGATTGGCTGCCGCCGTCCGACCCCTCTCGCCGCCCGCCAGTCGCTGTTGCTCGCAGGCGCCTGCGCAATGGGCCGGCCGTGGGGGGCGGGAAGCGCTTCGCGGCAGCGGAGCCCATGTCGGCCCTGAGGCGCTCGGGCTACGGCCCCAGTGACGGCCCTTCGTACGGCCGCTACTATGGGCCCGGCGGAGGCGATGTCCCGGTGCACGTCCCTCCGCCCTTGTACCCTCCGCTTCGGCCCGAGCCACCCCAGCCTCCAGTTTCCTGGCGAGGGCGCGGGGGCGCCCCGGCCGAGACCACCTGGCCCGGAGAAGGCGCAGGTGGCGATGCCTACTACCCCTCGGGAGGCGCCTGGGCAGAGCCGAGTAGAGCGGGAGGCGGACACCAGGTAAGCTTCGCAGTGTTTCCCGGGGATCCGGTAGGGAAGTCTTGGGCGGAGGTGAGGACCATTGGGGGTTTTCTACTTAGGGTTTGCTACGACTCAGCTTTCTGATTTGTTCTTCTGGGGAGACAGAGATCGGAGATGTTAAGTGAGGGGATACATGCTTGTGTTCCATTTGTCCCTTCGTTTTCACTTCGGCCATCGTTAAGTGTGCCTGTTACTACCAAGGAAACCAGAAAATTATTCGGCGATGACTTCCTAAGCTTGGGTAGCAGGCTGCAGGATCTCTCTCCCGAGAGCATAGGGTAGAGGGATCGGGCTGTAACAATTTATCCTGCGTGGCTAGGGAAGCTGCAGCTCCAGTCGTTACTCAGCAGCCCCTCCCGCGGGGAAGGGATCTGAACGGGGCGGGGTGGGGTGGGGTGGCCGATCATTTAGTCCCTTATCACCCAATCTTTGGCTGGGAAGGAAGCACGAATATTCAATGTTGCAAAGTACCTTTATGTTCTGTCACAGGACTGAAGGACAGATGCCTCCCTATTTTTGAATGAAGGCTCTGAGAAATTAACTTGCTTCATCTAGTTGGACCTGTAACATTTCATTATCTGTATACATGCCAAAAATGTATTTCTGTTTTCTCCATGTAAGGAGCTATCATTGGATGGTGGCACATATCTTTTGGCCTTCATAGCATCCTTAGTTGCTGAAAATTAATTATAAAATTCTCACACGTTAACGATGGGATTGCAGAATCCCATCAGTGCTTTGGGTAATAACTGGGTCGTTCCTAAAATTTGTGGCAGAGAATTAGCTTATGATCCAGCAGATCCACTTGTTAAGCATAATCAAGAAATGGAAAAGAATTGGTGGCTCAAGCCTTTATTCCTAGCACTCAGGAGGCAAAAGCAGGCTAGCCTGGTCTACATAGTTCCAGGACAGTCAGAGGTACATGGTGAGACTCTGTCTCAAACAAAGAACAATAACAACAATGACAAAAAAGAAATGGAAAACATGTCCACATAAAAAATTTTTAGTATATCTTCATAAACATCATTAGTCATAATGGCTAAAAATTGGAAGTAATTTATATAGTTATCAGCTGATGGCTGGATTAACAAACGTGGCATATGTTTTAGAACATAATATCCAGAAAGTTTGTTTCAACATGGATGAACCTTGACTAGATCATGGATGGTGAGTAAAGCGAGTCACAAGGGCTGGGTTTCATATTGTGTGACTCCATTTATGTGTCATGCCACAGCAACTGGTGGACTGCGGGGGCTGGGGACTGGAAGGAGGTGGCGCCGAAGTGATACAGTCTTCTGAATTTAGTGATAATGGCTTCACAGTTCAGAGCACCCTAACAACCACCGAACTGTGTATTTTAAAAGGCTGGGCTAATTATTTCTCTAAAAGTGAATTAAAAACACGAAGCATTAAGACATTAACGTAAAGAAGAATCCCTACTTTCTGTACTGATTCATTCAGTCAGTAGGCTGTTGGACTTTACTCCCATGGTCTAGTGAAGTACTCAGCCTTTTAAGTACCCAAACTAAAGATCAGCTGATGAGGCAAGGGAGTTGATCTTTAAACTGCCTGCTGGCTTCTATTGAGTTTGCTGTATTATCAAACTAAAAGTTTGTTTTCTGGGGTCTAGATAAAAAGTTAGGGAAAGACTTGAAAAAGTAAAGTTTGATGTCATATAAGGAATTGTGAGGTTGGGTTGGTATTAAGCTGTGCATGTACTAGAGTATTCTGAGATAAGACTGGAAATGTGTAATGGGCATTTGTGAGTCAATTAAACTTTACTTCTCATGGTTTCTTTGTTTGTTTGTTTGTTTTCTTTTGGTTTTTATTTAACGAATTTAAATACAGCAGAAGGGAAATTGGAAATCTACCACTTTCACCAGGTTTGTTTGGTTGGTTTTGTTTTTTTGAGACAGGGTTTCTCTATCTCTTGCTGTCTAGGAACTAGATTTGTAGACCAGGTTGGCCTTGAACTCAGAGATCTGCCTCCACCTCCTGAGTGCTGGGATTGAAGACTTGCACCACCACTGTCAGGTTTCCACCAGTTTTTTGAGAGAACAACTTCTAGGGCTGGCGAGATGGCTCTGTGTTTAAGGCACTGGTACCTGGGTTCAATTCAGCTTGCACATGACAGCTCAACTTTCTGTAACTCTAGTTCCAGGTCGTCGGACTCCCCCTTCTGGCCTTTTAGGGCACAGGTACACACTTGATGCATATCCATACATGTTGTTTGTAATGTTTCTAATCCTGTTGCCACTGCTCTTGTTTGCCATCAGAACTAGATGGTAAAATCCTGTTGTTGAAGACACCACGTACTTTGTTTGCAGAACAGAGAAACCAGAGTGAGACTGAGCCGGAAGCTTTCTCTCTGCTGGCTTACTTTCATAATGCCTTGAGTTGCTGTGCAGGCTGCTTGAGAAAAAAAAAAAATCATGTCTTAACCAGATATGGACCCAAACTAAACCACTAACTTGCCTGGCAAAGTGTGCCCTCTTGTGATAGTGGCATGACTGTTATGGGGTTGATGGCCAGTTTGTATTTGAGTCCCACTCTACAGGAGAGAATTCGTGTCTAGTACTGTAAGCTTGTTAAAAGCCTGTGGCTGGGGAGGTCATACTGTTGTTTTGCTAAATGGACAGATTGTGCCCACCAAAGATCTTCAGGTTATTTATGTTAATGCTCATAGCTCTGTGCTGTTCTCAGATTTGGTCAAAGGTTTGCTGTTGTTGGTAGTGGTGGTGGTGAGATTTTGGTTTTGGTTTTCAAGACAGGGTTTCTCTCTCCTGGAACTTGTAGACCAGGCTGGCCTTGATCTCAGAGATCTCTGCCTCTGCCTCCCAAGTGCTAGGATTAAAGGTGTGCGCCACCACTGGTGAGGGTGAGGTTTATGTGTATGTGTTGTAGTGGGTGGTGATGAGTGCTGAGTTTTTTTTTTTTTGGTTTTTTTTTTTTTTTTTTTTGGTTTTTCGAGACAGGGTTTCTCTGGCTTTGGAGCCTGTCCTGGAACTAGCTCTGTAGACCAGGCTGGTCTCGAACTCACAGAGATCCGCCTGCCTCTGCTGGGATTCAAGGCGTGCGCCACCATCGCCCGGCCCGAGTGCTGAGATTTATAACTGATTGATGTGCTGAGAAAACGTGACTGTGGAGTGCTCACCCTCAATGGGTTGTGCATTTTACCCCTTCCATGGCTCCGAGTACATTGTGGAAGTGGGCATGGAAAGACGGTGAGTGCAGAGGCAGAGAGGACTGTTAGGAAGTCTGATCTGGGTGTGACGTGACCATTGAATTAAGACCTGCATAAGATGGGGCTTCACAGTACTCCATCCTAGATGGGGAGAGACTCCTGAGGATTTACAGGCCACAAACAGGTGCTAGTAAGAGCCCTGATGACGCACCACCCCTTTCAAAGCCACTATTGACAGTCAACAGTTGCTGGGGGTAGCGTTGGGGTTGGTCTTCAATGGTGTAGCCACTGCTAATCCATGCTCATGTGAGCAACCCCAATGTACTTAGAGAGAGAGGAAGTCATCCTGGAGAGTGAGAAAGTGAGCCTACTGAAGAGTCTTTAATTGTTAGCAGTGCTGAGTGCCTACAGTTTCCTATAACATGAAAACAAGCAGATTGCTTGGCACGGGCCTGCAATTCCGTCTTTCCAGGTAGCTTAAGATGAAAGGATAGAAATTTTCAGACTAGCCTGACAACTCCATAGAACCCTGTCTCAGATTAAAACTAACAAATGGGGGGCTGGAGAGATGGCTCAGAGGTTAAGAGCATTGCCTGCTCTTCCAAAGGTCCTGAGTTCAATTCCCAGCAACCACATGGTGGCTCACAACCATCTGTAATGAGGTCTGGTGCCCTCTTCTGGTTTGCAGACATACACACAGACAGAATATTGTATACATAATAAATAAATAAATATTAAAAAAAAAAAAGAAGAATCAGCTAGAAGGACAGACCCTAAGTGAAGCTCAGGAGTTCAGGCTTGGCATCACCACCTCTAGGGCAGTCAGTTTCAATCCTGTCTTCTTGTGTCTTTACTCATGATTTAAATTCATAGAAGAGAGTGTAGACCTACAATAACTCCAGGTTTAATCCAGCATAACCAACAAACCACAAAAACTAACAGATTAAAAACCCTCCTCTTTAAAGGAAATACAAATGGTTTGTTATAAGCAGAGTACACTAGCTGTAAGTTCAAAGCAAAGAGACTTACTTGGTGAGTGATGAGCGCGTCCTGGGCTAAAGTAGACAGTCAGTGTGTTGGAAGGTTTGAGCATTGGTCTGGAGGGTTCTTAGAAAAGTTTAGTGGCTTATTGTAACTTATTTGAAGACAGAGCCTGAAAAGATGATGACATCACAGATAGATGTACTCCTTCCAATGGTGATAGTTCTACATGAGTTGATGGCACTGAAGTTATAGGTCATAAGCAGAAATCTTGGCCATAGGAAAAAGTACTAGAATACAAAAAAAAAAAAAACAAAAAAAACAAAAAACAAAAAACCCGGATCTATGTACTTGTAGTAAACTTGAGAAGTAATAGTTTCGTGTTCCAATGTTGTTAAGTAAGTAAATAGTGACACATAGCTTTATGTTGTACTGGTTAAACAGGCTAAGTATCTCATATCTGAAATGTTTGTATTTCAGGTTTCAGATTTTTGAAAGATAATCTGTATAAACATAATGAGTTATTTTGAAGGCAAGACCTAAATCTAAACATGAAATTCATTTATGTACAACTTTTAAACATGGCTTTGAAGGTAACTACACAGCATTTTAATGCCCCTGCATTTTGTTGTTTGTTTTGCTGTGCCTTGAATGAGCTCGGTAAGTGCTCTGCCACTCAGCCAGTTCCCCTACCCATTACATGCATTTTGACTGCATCAGGACATGAGGTCAAAATATCCAAAATTCGAGCAGTTTGGGTTTCAGATTTTCAGATTGGGTATACTCAACATGTACTGGCAAGAGGTAGTAAAGGCAAACTACTGTATATAGTTTTCCTAGTCATCTTGACACAGATTCCTTTATTATCATTTCAGTGTGTGGTATATAATGCTTAAGACCAGTCTTTTACAGCTGCTCAATGGCTGTTCTGTTCTGGGGCATGTGATTTACTTTGTACTTTATCTTTTTAAGTTTAATAATGATTGTAGTGGCTTTATATCTCTTTTTTTTTGTCTGTTTTTCTTTTTGGTTCCTATTATCTTGCCTCTTGTTAGAGGTATCTCTTTTTGCTATCTAACCATTATTAAGAGTGAATTGGGCCAGGTGGTGGTGGTGCATGCTTCTAATCCCTGCATTCAGGAGGCAGAGGCAGGAGGATCTCTGTAAGTTCAAGGCCAACCTGGTCTACAGAGTGAGTTCCAGGACAGCCAGCGCTGTTACACAGAGAAACTGTCTCGAAAAACAAAACCAAACAACAAAAAAAGTGAATTGGACATGGTAAGCACACCTGTGATTCTAGCTGGGAAGGCAGAGGCAGGAGGATTGCAAGTTTGAGGCCATCTGGAGAAGGCATCAATAACAGAAAGAATGCTTTTAAAATTAACTTGTTTTTCCTTTTTCCTTAGGAGCAGTCACCATATCCTGGCTATAATTCTAACTACTGGAATTCTGTGCGACCAAGGGCCCCGTATCCAAGTGCATATCCAGTAAGACCAGAGTTACAAGGCCAGGTATGGTTGAAAATTGAGATTTTTCTGTCTTTTCTTCTTTTAAGACAGTTTTATGTGTCACAGGATGGCCTGAAATGGTATGTAGTTGAGGATGACCTTAAACTTATTGATCCGAGTGGCTCCATCTCCTAAGAGCTAGGATAGGCCCTGCTACCACACCCAGTTTTATTCAGTGTTAGGGATCAAACTCAGGGCTTCATGAACACTAGGTAAGTAGTCTGGAAAACTTCAATTTAAAAATTAGCGTGTATTAAGTATATATAATAATGGTTTTAATTATGACATTTTCCTTTTTTTAATTTTACTAAATTTTTTTCATCGAATATATTTTGATCATATTCCTTTCTGTTGCCCAAATCTTCTCAGATCTCCCTACCTATGCACCTTTCTTTCTCTCAAAAACAAAAAATAAGCAAGCAGAAAACCAGAAGGAAAATAAAAACATACCAATAAGACAAAAACAAAACAAAAACCCAAAATGAAAGTACACACACCAAAAACCAGGACTGTGTTGGCCAGTACTCCTGGACATGGGACCTGCCCTGGAGTGTGGTTGATGAGCCGGTGTCACTCCATTGAACAATACTGATTCTTCCCTTTTCCAGCAGGTACCAACTGCAGATAGCTTCCTGGTAAAGGATGGGAGTTTGTGTCCACCCGCCCTTGTCTCTGTTAGGATTTTGTCTGGTGTGAACCACTCTGATTTTACCATACCTTGGTGATAGCTGAATATACAGGTGACTCTTTAGCATCTCTGCAGCCAAGCATCCTGGAGGTAGAGGGTCTCACTTAGTAATTGGAACCACGTGTGGTAAGTGGTGTAAGATCTCTGCAAAGTAGCTGGTATGGCAAAGCTCTGGCGGCTTAGCATCATGTATCCAAAGGCCTCCTTCCAGAGGAACAAACACCATTGATTTCAGAAACTCAGAAGAAGTTCAGTTACACAACATCTGTGCTGAAGTGTCTGCATCTGCCTTATGAAATAACCTTTTGCCCAGGATAGCACCCAAACTTGACATTCCCCAATTTCTGACATTGAGATCAAGTCACACGACACATTTATGAGCTGTGTGACTGACCCTGACATCCTCCTCTCCTCCTTCTCCCTTTCCCTTCTCTCTGCCTGCCAGCCCCACCTATCCTTTCTCTCGACTCACTATTGGCCATTCAACTCTTTATTTAGATTATTAGATGTTTCAGATAGGCAAGGAATCACAGCTCCACAGAGTTAAACAAATGCAGCAAAAATAAAAGCAACATATCTTTACATAGCTAAACAAATGTTCCAGAGCATAAACATATGTAACACACCTTAAAATAATATTCTACAACATTTAAATGTTTTATTCCAGTTTTTAGTATTTTGTGTGTGTTCTGTGTGGGTGGAGTGTGCCATTGTGCACTTGTGGAAGTCAGAAGACTCAGGAGCTCTTTTCACTGGGATCTAGGGATTAAACTCACGTCATCAGGCTTGCAAAACAGGCACTTTACCCATTGCGCCATCTCTGCTGCCCTGTGGCACACTCTGTGCCTGCCCGTCGTGTGCAGCTTACAGACTCAGTGACAGGAACTTCCTTCTTTTCTGACTCTTGAGTGCAGGAATTATGTATGGGCCTATGACCACCAGTCCCAGCTTCTTCTTCCTACTCTTTCATAGTAAGGAAAATTTCAAACAAAAGTAGAAATAAATGTTCTCTCAGCGTCCAGAAGTCTCAACACTTGACCTTATCGCCTTTATCTCTGGAGTATTTTCTTACAGTATTTTGAAGCAAATACCAAATAGCATATTTTATTGCTCGTAAATAAACCTAAGTATGTTCATTTAAAAACAACAAAAATAGAAACAAAAAACTGCCATATTGTAGTGGTTTAAATGAGACTCTTCCCCATAGGCTCTGACACTTGAACACTTGGTCCCCAGTTGGTGGTACTGTTTGGGAGATTTATTAAGAGGTATGCCTTGCTTAAGGAAGTATGCCACTGGGGAGGACTTTGAGGGTTTAAAGGTTTGAGCCACTCTGAGCTCACTCTTTCTGTTTTGTGTTATAGTTTAAGATTATAGCTCTCAGCTTACCGCTCCAGCTTCTGTGCCTCTGCTCCACCACAGTGTGGACTGTGGACTCACACAGTGGAGTCACCCTCTGGAACCAAAAACCCACACAAGCTCTCCTCTTCAGTGTCTTGGTAATAGTGTTTTATCACGGCAATAAAAAGGTGACTAATACACACAGCGGGATTAAAACTTTACAAAGGAGTGCCAGCAAGATAACTCAGTGGGTAACCTTGTTACCCAGGTTCAGTTCCTGGAGCCCACATGGTAGAGGAGACAACTCTCACCAGGTGTCCTCTGGGCTCAGTGTGTGTGCCATAGTATATGTACACATAGTATCCACCCCCCCCCACCTCCCCCCCCACACCCCCACCTCTGCACTGTCATATAAGGCCGGGCAGTGGTGGCACATGCCTTTAATCCCAGCAGTGGGGAGACAGGGGCAGATGGATCTCTGTGAGTTTGAGGTCAGCCTGGTCCACAGAGCATATTCCAGGATAGCCGGAGCTACACACAAAGAAACCCTATTTCAAAAAAAAGGAAAATAAGACCAGGCATGGTGGCACACAGCTTTTTTTCTTCTTCTTTAAATTCTAGTAATATATTCCCTACATCCTAGCTAATAAAGGCCCATGTGCATTTTCAGTGTTAAATAATGACATATATCAAGTTTGGAAGATTTATTCATCAGTGTAATAAATTCTAAAAAAAACCAACATGATTTTCTGCATGCAGAGGAGTGTTTCCTGGAAAAGTGGGAAATTGTGCAGATGGCTTCTGAAAGACCTTGATTATAAGCAGCTCTGTGGTGAACTCCATGGTTCTTTAGTTTCACTGAGTAGGATTTATACTGTTTATTAGGACCGAGTTTGTCCTGAGGTTCTGTACTGGTGGAGTGTGTCTGCCACGGAGGCCTGCCTCCACTGAGACAGGAGAACAAGACTAGGACACAGACCCTGAGCAGCTGCTGCAACCTGGCTGAGGGATGGCACACACCATTAATCCCAGTAGCCAGGAGGCAGATGCAGAAGGATCTCCGAGTTCAAAGCCAGCCCTGTCTATATAGCAAGTTCCAGGCCAGTCAAACTACGTGAGACCTGTCTCAAAAAAGGAGTGAATAGGTTTTTTTTTTTTTTTTTCGAGACAGGGTTTCTCTGTGGTAGTTCCTGTCCTGGAACTAGCTCTGTAGACCAGGCTGGTCTCGAACTCACAGAGATCCACCTGCCTCTGCCTCCCGAGTGCTGGGATTAAAGGCGTGCGCAAGTTTTTTTTTAAAAAAAATTCTTACAAGGAAACAGTTCTAAAATTAAATCTACTTGTTTCTAACAATAAATTGAATAAAATTCCTTCAAATAATAATCCTTGGTGCTGGAGAAATGGCTCAGAGGACTGGGTGCTCTTGTACCTGATTCAGTTCCAGCATAATATGGCAGCTCACAGCTGTCAGTAACTTAGTTCCAGGGGATCCAACACCCTCAGTACTGACATACATACAGGCAAAACATCAATGTGCATGAAATAAATATAAATAATTTTTTAAGAATTTTGTAAAAAAAAAAGAATTTTTTTATCTGTTTAGTTATTATATGGGATACATACACACGCACACACACATTAAAGTAATGGTTTAAGCTTTCGGCTTAGATTTTCATTTTATTTGGAGTATTAAGCAGGATTCTATATATCAGCAATGTAATTGTCTTGCTAGGTGATTTAAAAATACAGGAAAGGGACTGACCATGTACCTTAGGGTAGCACACTTGTCTGGCCTGGGCAAGGGGTTAGTCCACAATCATACTAGTAAACAGTGTACTGAGGAGTTTCTGATTTCTGTTGTTGGTGTTATCTGGGAAGCAGGGTGGTTTCATTGTTCAATATGGACTGTAGAATCAGACCTGGGTTGGTTTCTTAAACTCATCATAACACTTCCAGCAATGTACTCACTGTTATTGAGCATATTGTGTGCCTGCTGAGTCCTTTGTTTTTGTTATCTCACTTAGTTTTCTCCGTAATCCTGCAAGGTAGTCTAGGCTCTTCATTTTCCTGTTAGAGAAACTAAAACTAAGTAATTAGAGAGTCTCTCTCTATCCTTTCTATTATATAGTGATATTTCCTTTTCCTCTAGCTAGTCCCCCAGTCTTCTTTGAGTTGCCTTCTGTGGATACAGTTTCTCTGCTGGCAGATGTAACTGTGAATTAGAGTTAAGGAAATGTTTGAGAAGGCCACTGCTTTGCCACTCCATATGTCCTCAATATATTCTTCCACTGATGCAGCCTAACTGAGAGTCACAGCCTGAGTTCAGTACATGGCTTGTGGTTACAACAGAGGAGGAGTGCTTCATAGACTGCTGTGGTAGCTTAGATTTTCCTCAGTTGCTGATAGCTTTACTTCCTAAAGTTTTCAAGGTTGGACATTTAAGTGCATTTCAGCCCTTTAACTCATTCATCTTTCTTCCTCTCTGGTTCTCCTGTTTTTCAGAGTTTGAATTCTTATACGAATGGAGCATATGGTTCACCATACCCTCCTGGTCCTGGACCAAATACTGCCTCATACTCTGGGGCTTATTATGTACCTGGCTATACTCAAAGCAGTTACTCTACAGAAGTTCCAAGCACTTACCGATCCCCTGGTAACAGCCCAACCCCAGTCTCTCGTTGGATATATTCCCAGCAGGACTGTCAGACAGAAGCACCTCCACTCAGGGGTCAGGTTCCAGGATATCCTGCTTCACAGGTAAACAGTTTTCTGACAGGAAAAAATACCTGCTTCTGAATTGTAAACAGTGGAAAATTATTTATCTACATAAGTACCAGTTTAAGAAAACAGCTAGAGCCAGGCATGGTGTGTATACCTTTAACTCCACTTCTCCGGAGGCAGAGTTCGAGACCATCCAAGGCCATGTGGCCTTGTCTCAAAAACAAAACAAAAAAAAGAAAACACCGAAAAAAAGAAAAGAAAAAAGAAAACACCATAGATGTTCAGAAAATTTTCTATTTTTGACCAAAGATGCCTTAAAAATGTCATTATTCTTTTAAATTCTAAGTTACATTTATTATGTGTGTGCATGGTGGGAGTTGGGGGATGAGACACGTACCACAGCCATGTGTGGAAGTCAGAGAACTGCTTGTGGGGTATTCTCTCTTTTTACCTTCCTTCCTTCCTTCTTTTCTTCCTTTCCTTTGAGACCAGGTCTCAGTATGTAGCCCTGGATGTCTGGAACTCCCTATATAGACCAAGCTGGCCTCAAACTCATAGCGGTCTGTCTGCGTCCACTTCCTGAGTGCCGGGACTAAAGACATATGCCACCATACCTGGCTCCTCTTTTGTCCCACCCCATTTTCATTATTTTTAATAACGTGTGTGTTTGTATATTTACATGTGAATGCAGGTACTCACAAAGGCCAGAGGTGTGAGAACCCTGGAACTGAACAGGTTTGGGAGCCATCTGACATGGTATCTAGGACTTGAACTCAGAGTCCTCTAGAAGAGCAGTATATGCTCTTAACCACTGATACATTTATGCAGTCCCTATAAAACTTTTGTAATAAAATAAATCTTTAGTTATTGTTCTAAACTTTCCCTAACTTAATCTTTTCCAGTTGCTTTTAGGTTTATATTATATGCTAATATGCCATGTTGGGCTGAATGGTGGTAGTGCACACCTTTAATCCCAGCACTCAGGAAACAGAAGCAGGTGAATCTTTGTGAGTTCAAGACCAGCCTGGTCTACAGAGCTAGTTCTAGGACAACCAGGACTACATAGATAAACCCTGTCTTAAAAACTTTTGAAAATTAAATAAATAAAAATAATATACTATGTTTATTTCTGTTGTTTTGAGAAGTCAGCTGTCTTTGTGTTTATAACGTATTACCGTATGGATTTGTTTATCTGTAGTGTTTTTGGAAAATACATGCTTCATCCAGTGAATTTTAAATCCTACTCTTGAGTCTTTACCAGCTCTTTTCTTTGTGGCTTTAGAGTTAGGGTTTCTCAGGTGTGAAGAATGTTTGGTAACTGATTTATGAGTTGCTATCAGCTCAAGATCTGTCGATGCTATTTTTATTACTTTAAGTTTTGCTTTGGTTTTCTAAGCAGCGACCAACCAGCATACCAGCATATTTGTTTTTCCCACTCTAGAACCCTGCAATGACCTTGCCCCATTATCCCTATGGGGATGGTAACCGCACTGTGCCACAGTCAGGAGCAACTGTACGACCACAAGATGACGCATGGGCTTCTGGTGCTTATGGGATGGGGGCCCGTTATCCCTGGCCTTCAGCTGCACCCTCAGCCCCACCTGGGAATCTGTACATGACGGAAAGTGCTTCACCCTGGCCTGGCAACAGTTCTCCTCAGCCACCTCCTTCACCACCACCCCAACAACCTAAGGTAGGGTTCCTTCCAAATGCTGTCCTTTGCTGTCTGGGTATTAAGAGAATACAAGATGACACATCTGTATTTGCCCATGGTAAATGGAAACTAAAAGTAAATGGAAAGTAAAAAAAAGCTGATTACTACCCTATAGCATTATTTCAGCTTAATTTATGTTTTGGGTTTTTTTCTCATAAGCATTATTGCTTGGGGATTTTTTTTAAAGGTTCTTTTTTATACTTTTCTATTTTTTTATATGTCTAGATGTACTGGCTGCATATATGTCTATGCACTGTGAGTGTGTCAGGAGCCCTTGGAGGCCAGATTCCCTGGAAATGAAGTTACAGTTATGAGCTACTGTGTGGCAACTGATAATCAAATTTGGGTCCTCTGGAAGAACAGCCAGTACTTAACTGTAGTGATAGTTTGTTTGTGTTTTAACAAATAAAGCTTGCCTGAAGATAAGAGTGTAGAGCTATCCACTAGAGACCAGAGAATGGTGATACACACCTTTAATCCCAGGACTCAGGAGACAGAAGCAGATGATCTCTGTTAGTTCAATGCCTCCCTGGGCTGCCAAGATTGTATCTGTCTAAAAGAGAAACAGAGCTCACACAAAGGTGATCCCAGCACTTGGGATCCTCTGCCTTTAATCCCAGCACTAAGGAGGTGGATACAGGAGTGATATGGGCAGAGAGAGGAATATAAGGTGGGAGGAGACAGGAGCTCAGTGCAGTCTGAGGATCACCCTTGCAGTCACAGAAGACAGTCTTGAGAACAGAATTCATGCTACACTTCACTGCTTGCCATCTATCCAGCACCATATCTTTTTTAAAAGACAAAAAATTGCTTATTTTGTACTGTGATACTATCTGCATATTAGATAGAATCAAAGGATGTTTTTTTACAACCTCTCATGATATGTGGAGAGAAGATGAGAAGCAGTGTAAAGTACTACAGCACTCAGTGTTTACATAAGCCACAGGCAGAACACTGCTTTTGACTGTGTTCTGAGGCTTTTACTATTTGAGGAGGAATACTAACTATGAAGTCACTGGATGAATTGTGAGGTAGTAAGATTAATTGTGCAGTGTTCACAAAAGTGGCTTGCATCAAGGGAGATTCCAATCATCATATTTAGGAATTCTGTGCCTTTTACTTGAAAGGGTTTCCCCTTTTTATCTTAACAGTGTTTTTCTCCAGTGATTAAGGTGGGAGTCAGTTTTATTGGTGGAAATCTTTTCAAGTACATTCTTGTTTGGGGAAGATGTGTACTAATATTTAATACTGATGGCCTCCCATTGAAACAGCTTTTGTTTCTCCTTTCTGTCTTCCCATTCCAAGGATTCCTCCTACTCCTATGACCAGTCAGGTCCAGGCATGAACCGGCACAGCTTTCCTTGCAGTGTCCATCAGTACGAATCTTCGGGAGCCATGAACAATGATAATTCATACCTTTTGGATTCTCAAGTCCAGTATAGTGCTGAACCTCAGTTGTATGGTAATGCCGCCAGTGACCATCCCAGCAATCCTGTTCAGAGTAATAATCTCCCTGAAGAGTGTTTCTCTTCAGATGAAGGCACGCCTCCAAGTATTAAAAAAATCATACATGTGCTGGAGAAGGTCCAGTATCTTGAGCAAGAAGTAGAAGAGTTTGTGGGGAAAAAAACAGACAAAGCTTACTGGCTTCTGGAAGAAATGCTGACAAAGGAACTTTTAGAACTGGATTCTGTCGAGACTGGGGGCCAGGACTCTGTCCGTCAGGCCAGGAAAGAGGCTGTCTGTAAGATCCAGGCCATACTGGAGAAATTAGAGAAAAAGGGATTATGAAATAATTTGGATTGAAGGGTTAACCTGTTACTAATTTGGCAAAGAACTCTTGAATTTGGTTAGTTACCATCTTTTAAATGCCTGTTGTGACAAGAAACAACACAGTCCAGCTTCTGACTTCAAACTGAAGGAAAAGAAATTGAAAAGCTGACAGAAGAGTGGAAGAACACAGTACGGGATTCTTTTTGGTTTTCAGATGACTGAACATAATACGATACTGGAATTGTCAATGTTGCCAAGTAGACCTGCTCCTTAAGAAATCCATGGGCATCTCTAGGCTGCTTCTTATCAACAGGAGGGAAATAGACTTTATGTAACAGGTTATCAGTGCATAGTCTGAGACAAGCAGGCTGTTTTGTAAGCATCCAGACTGTCACATTTTTGTGCATTGTGACTGCATATACTTATGTGTAAATTATAGCTTAGACTCTTGGACCTCTGTTTTATTATCTGCAGTTCGCAAATGTAATATTATTCTACTTGGTACATTTTGTAGTAATATGTTTAATAATCAAATACTGGCAGCCAGATAAATAGGCAGTTCTGATCGAATTCATATCCTTTCAGCCTTGAATATATTGCAGTGTGTAGTGGGCTCCTGAAGTCAATCACTTATCTCCTTGTGTAGCATGTTATGTTAGTGTTCTTCCACTTCTGCTTTTCACAGTAGTCAGGAAGGTGATTTTGGGAATTACATTAACATAGAATCACTATGTTTGTGAATATTTTACTTCTTTGCTTTTTTGTTATATTTGGATAAAGATCCAGTTTTGAAATTGTTTTTTTTAAGAAAAATATCTTTGGCTATTGCTGCTTCAATAGAGAGCCTTATGATAGAAACATGAAACCTAAATGCTAAAATTAGTATAAATAGCGACTGCAAAAAGCAACAAATATGATTATTTAATAATACTGTTCTCCATTTAATAGTTTCTGTTAAACAGATTTGAGCTCAGTTTATAGCTGATAGAAGGAAAAGGAGATTCATGCTCAGGGAATGAGTCAGCCATAGCTAAAGTAGAAAACTCATTGTTTTCTTTAAATCTGGTCTTTATTTCATAGAATAAATTACATAGAATTACCTGTTTCGTAAGAAAGATGTTATTATTAATAACAGTCCATTTGGAACCAAGTTTAAGAAAGGGGCCTTTCTTGTTTTTCCATATATGTTGTTATTATACAGAGACAGGTAAATAATTTACCTTTTAAATCTAAAGTGAGTCTAGCATTCAGTATCTGCTTTTGCAACAAAAGCAGTTTCTTAGTAAAATATCAAAGTGATACTTGTTTTCTAGACTAGCAAGCCTTTATATTAGTGATGCTAAACCTATAGCCATCCCTTCTACTCACAGGGAACCAAATCAATGCCAGTGTGTCATGAGTAGAAATGTAGTCGAAAATGTTGTATGGAGGCCGGGGACGTGGTTAAATTCGTAGAGTGTTTGCCTAACGTACATGAAGTCCAGCGTTAAATTCCCAGTATTGCATAAACCAGGCATAGTGGCACATACCTGTCTCAGCACTAGGAGGTGGAGGCAGGAAGATTACAAGCTTAAGATTATCCTCAGCTACATCAAGAATTCAAGGCCACTCTGAGTCACACGAGATCACGTCTCAAAAACTAAAAGGACAAGTGATTCAAGATTTCATGATTTTATCCAAGAGTCTGTTTTTAAAACATTTTATTAGTGTATAAATTTGATTTGGTGGTATACATTTTTAATCAAGACAGAGGCAGGTAGATCTCTTGAGTTCAAGGTCAACCTGGTCTGCAGAGAGTTCCTGACCAGTCAGGGCTCCATAGTGAGAGACATGTGCTACCTACCTACCTACCTATCCTACCTACCTATCCTACCTATCTATCCTATCTACCTATCTGTCCTGCCTACCTTTCTATCCTACCAACCTATCTATCCTACCTACCTGTCTACCTATCTATCCTACCTACCTACCTACCTATCCTACCTACCTATCCTACCTACCTATCTATCCTGCCTACCTATCTATCCTACCTACCTATACCTATCCTATCTATCTATCTATCTATCTATCTATCTATCTATCTATCTACCTATCTATCTATCTATCCTACCTACCTATCTATCCTACCTACCTATACCTATCCTATCTATCTATCTATCTATCTATCTATCTATCTATCTATCTACCTACCTATCTATCTATCCTACCTACCTACCTACCTATCTATCCTATCTATCCTATCTACCTATCTGTCCTATCTACCTATCCTACCTACCTATCTATCCTACCTACCTATCTATCCTACCTACCTGTCTACCTATCTATCCTACCTACCTGTCTACCTATCCTACCTACCTATCTATCTACCTATCCTACCTACCTATCTATCTACCTATCCTACCTACCTATCTATCTACCTATCCTACCTACCTATCTATCTATCCTACCTACCTATCCTACCTACCTATCTGTCCTACCTACCTATCCTACCTACCTATCTATCCATCCTACCTGTCCTATCTACCTACTTATCTTACCTGTCTATCCTATCTACCTAACTATCCTACATACCCACCTAACTATGGGATGTGTGTGCTCACATGTGTGTTTTATATCTACAAGTTTTGTTTTTGAACAATGTCATGCCGGTTGACCTTAAACTTTGTATGTAGCCTAGGACAACCTAAAAGTCCTGATGCCCCTGCCTCACCTTCTGCAGGTGTGTGCCTGGTTTCTGTGGTGCTGAGGATCAAAGTCAGGGCTATATGTATGCTAGGCAAGCACTGTACTGATCTTGAGCTATAGCCCTGATTCTTTTCCTTTTGACCTAATATAGAAATGTTTTTAAAGGGTTTCTAAGCTGGACATGGTGGCACGTGCCTGTAACCCTCGATTCTGAGGCAGGTCTGTGGATCTCTGATTCTGAGACCATCTTGGTCTACACAGTGAGTGCCAGGCTAGCCAGTAGTGAGGCCTAGCCACCCCTCAAACGTTTTCTATAAAAATATGACAATTACATTTAAAAGTTTAAGAGGAGAAACCTTAAAGCTGTGTTGCCAACAAGACAGTGACTGATTCAGAACACATTACACTGCCCAAGATGCCAATTTCTGCACATCCTTCATTTTTACATATTGTACACATTATACACAAATGTACATATATGTGTATATATCTTAAGTTATTTTTTGAACTAGTAACATGATTTTAAACTTACAAAAGAGTTGTAAACATAGCAGTGCTCCTGTGTGCCCTCCATCTGCCTTTCCCTTGTTTTGACATCTTACCTAACTAAAGCATTTGTTGAAATTAATAGTTCATCTTTTATAGTGCTATTAATATTAGCTACAATAGCAAGCTAAAAGTAGATATTTTATTAATCTTTTTATTAGCATCCTTTTAACCGTTCTGGATCCCATCTCGCATCTAGTTGTCTCAGTTGTCTCCACTCCGTGGCGCTGTACCATAAGGATAGCTGGTGTCGTGTGTTTCCAGTGTGCTTCCCTTTGAGCACTCTGCTGAGGTGGTGTCTCTAGGATGCTGCACTGTAAGCTTACCCTGCTTTCCTTTGTAATTACTGAGTATTTGCTAGAGATACTTTGAGACTATGCAAATGTCCTGTTTCTGCTTAGAGTTTGCCTCTCCTACTATCTCCTGGCAGATCTTGCTTGTGGCATTTACTACTGTGGCGTTCAAATGGTGATTTTTCTATTTGTTTCATTTCTTCTATATTTAATAATTGGAATTCTTCTGGAAGGAAGAACTGTGGATTCTGGATTTATATTTTTAATTATATCAAGATATTCAGGATAGGTACAAACTCAAAACTTAAAAGATATAAATCGTGTTAATTGATTCCAAATGGCCAGTATCAAAGAAAAAAGCAATGTTGGTGACTTGTCTTTGGAAATATAATGAACTTAAGATGAAAATAGTATTTATGATTTGTAAAATTTATCTGACTTTTGACTTAAAATTGATTTGAAACTGAAACATTTTTCTTTTGAAATTTTACATCTAGACTTTTTTAATGTGTCTAAATTTATATTACTTTGGGGGTCATTTTTGTCAGATCTTGAATAAAGTTACCTACACCTGGCATGATAAACACACTGTTTTCTAACCCTTTGTTCAGGTAAAATCCCAATATAAACACTTAACCAGTCAGCCCTAAGGAAGTCTCTGAGCATCATTCTGTTTGTGCATGCTTGTTTAAAATGCTTCTAAAAATAAGGTTTTTAGAAACAAAGCCAACAGTAAAGGAAAGGGGTTTGAAAACAATGCTTTAGTTAGTTGACATAAATAACCTTTAAGTTAATTGGATTCTTTTTTTTTTTTAGGTTGAAGGGCATAGATTAAGTTGTCTATTAAAAAACCTTGTGAGGGTAGATAGTTGATAGAAATTTCTTTGCTTTTTCTTTGTTTTTGTTTTGTTCCGAGACAGTCCTGGCTGTCCTGGAACTCTGTAGACCAGGCTGGCCTTGAACTCATTAAGGTCTGCCTCATGAGTTTAGGGCCACTGAAATGGCTCCGCAGGGAAAGTCACTTGCCACCAAACCCGAGGACCTGAGCTGAATGCCCAGGGTCCACACGGGGGAGAAACCAGTTTCCTTCTGACTTTATGTGTACATCATAGCATGCCCCTCCCACATTCAAAAGGAGTATTTCAAGTTATTTCATGTGTCTGAGAGTTTTGCCTGCATGTATATGTGTTCCATGTTGTGTGCCTGTTGCCCTTGGAAGTCAGAAGGCATCAGATCCTGTGGAACTAGAGTTGCAGTTATTAGCCATCATGTGAGGGCTGGGAATTGAACCCAGGTCCTCTGTAAGAGCAGTAAGTGCAGGGGCTGGAGTACTGGCTGCTCTTGCAGAAGACCCAGGTTCTGTTCTCAGCACCCACATGACAACCTACAACTGTCTGTAACTCCAGTTCCCTGGAATCGGACACCTTCACACCAGTGCACATAAGACGAAGTTAAAATAAATAAATAAGAGCAGTAACTGCTTAGCCAACTCTACTGCCCAAAGCAACCACTTTCCAATATAAAATACACTTTTGAAATGCATCACTGGTTTTGTTGCTGTTTTGTTTCCAAATTACACAGGGTCTCTGTGTAATCCTAGCTGTCCTGAAACTAGCTCTGTAGACCAGTCTGGCCTCTAACTCTCAGAGATCAGCCTGTCTCTGCCTCCTGAGTACTGGGTTTAAAGATGTGCACCACCATCCCATGTCAAATCGCTGATTTTTTTTGGGGGGAGGGCATTGAGATGGTAACAGCCATGACTGTTCTGGAACTCCCTTTGTAAACCAGGCTGACCTCGAACTCACAGAAATCCACCTGTCTCTGCCTCCCGAGTTCTGGGAATAAAGGCATATGCCACCACCACCTGGCAAGACCCAGTTTTTATTTCCAGAAACTTGTAAAATTTTTAAAAATTCTTTTTGTTATGAAATGTAGCAGTGTAGCTTTGGTGTGGGTATATCTTTACTCATGGGGGAGATATTCATTTTAGAAATCTACACCTTTATATCATGTGATAGTATCTTGATTTTTTAAAGATTTTATTTATTTACTATGTATACAATCCTTCTGCCTGTGCAGGCAAGAAGAGGGCACCAGATCTCATTATAGCTGGTTGTGAGCCACCATGTGGTTGTCGGGAATTGAACTCAGGACCTCTTGAAGAACAGTTAATTCTCTCCGCAGCCAGTGCTCTTAACTGCTGAGCTATCTCTTCAGCCCCAGTGTCTTTTTATTTGACTTGTAAAGTTGTCCACTACCCTACTCACCCCTTCTTTTATGGAACAAGGTAGGTAGCCCTTGATGTCCTGGAGCTCTCTGTATAGACCAGGCTGCCCACCATCTCACAGAGATCTTCCTGCCTCTGCCTTCTGAGTGCTGGGATTAGAAGTGTGAGCCACTATGCCCAGCTTGCACAACTTTTAATTTCTAATTTTTTCCCTTTAGAGATTCTTTGTGTAGTTATAACATGTCACATATCTGCAGCTTTTAGTAATTTCTTCCTGAATTACTGGCTTTCTCCAAAGTTGCCTTTTAAAGTTTTCATTTTTATCATTAGAGGTGCTTTTGCTGTCTTGTTTTTCTTCATGTTGGGAAGGGAGGGGCTCTCTCACCAAGAAGGTTCCAAGAATTGAACTCGGGTTTTCAGCCATCTCACTAATCCCCACACATACACCTTTTCCCTTGAGATATTTTATTTTCCATGCACCTTCTTTCTGCTTTCCTTACGAGTCTGCAGAAGAACAGCTTATAGCCATACAGTGGTGTCCATTCAGTGGCCCAAGCAGTAGGGACTACAGACCTGTCCACAGTGACCAGCTAGTAGTCCAGTTGGAAATGGCGAGGTAGCCTCACACACCTTGGGACCAGGCTAAGCATCGATGGACTCGGAAGCTGGCATAATCCCCTCACCCCGCACTTCTTCCTAGGTCGCAGCCTTTCCCATGGATGTTCCTGGGCCACCACCCACTGCATCAGACCTACTGAATGAACTTGTTTGCTTGGGATGGCAAAGTCCACATGTCACAGAGGGGGAATCTGTGCTACACAGAGATCAGTGGTAGAGGGGAACCTGTTACACAGAGATCAGTGGTAGGCATCCTCTGTGACTGGCTGGCCTTTGCCTTCAGTCTCTAACCAGAGGATATGGCTCCCAGCATGCTGCCTGGATCTGCTTACTCAAAGTCTTGGAAATGAAGCAGCCAGTAATTGGGCAACAAACTTGAGCACAGCCCACTGGCCAGTATCCCTGTTAGACATGCTGACATCAACAGGGTTTTCATTTTTATCTTTTGAGAGGGGGGAAGAGGGAAGAGCAGGGGTTTCCAGACAGGGTTTTTCTATGTGGCCCTGGGTATCATGGAACTTGCTCTGTAGACCAGACTGGACTCGAAATCACGGATATCCACCTGCCTCTGCTTCCTGAATGCTGGGGTTAAAGGTGCGCACTGCCGCCGCCCAGCTTCAACAGGGTTTTTATAGCAACAGTAGCACAAGCTGTCAGTAGCAGCTTTTCCAGGCCTGTGACGATGGAAAAGACTTGAACTTTGGCTGAACCTCACAGCCAGATTTAATATAAACTGCTATTCTACTGTGTACTCAGCCTATCTGTTTAATCTTCCTTCCCCCCACCCCCAAGATAGGGTTTCTCTGTAGCTTTGGAGCCTGTTCTGGAACTAGCTCTTGTAGACCAGGCTGGTCTCGAAATCAGAGATCTGCCTGCCTCTGCCTCCCAAGTGCTGGGATTAAAGGCGTGCGCCACCACTGCTCGGCATGTTTAATCTTCCTTTAAGAGAATTGTGCAACAACCACCCTTACTTGCCTTGGGTTTCCCATGTAATCAGCTTTTACAACCTGAGCAAGTGCATAGCTTTTGTAATTTTAAGTTACGTATTCTTCCACGCCCCGACCCACACATATTTGTGTGTTATAGTCATCATTTGCTGCAAATAGGCTGAAAGTTCTTTATGAAATGAATATCTACATTGATAGCAGCATTGAGATACTGTGCTTGTTATCTGGGTTAGTTGGGGTCAGCTGGGAGTCAGTCTACAAAGTATCTTTTATTCCTTCCCTATGTGATGCTTTCTGTGTTGTGCAATGAGAGAACAAAGCCCTTTGTTACACACACACACACACACACACACACACACACAGGGAAAGAGGGAAAGACAATATTCAGGCAGGCAGAAATTCAGATTCATACACAGACAGGAATAACAAGACAGAGCGAAGTAGAGAATTCAGATCTGGCTTGCTCTTGGTTAGATGACACGCAAAGTGCTTCGATTTCTGTCTTTAATATGACTTCAACACGTGATTGGTGGCTCTAAGTTTTATTATAGCATTCAAACTGCCCAGGTCCTCTTCAAATTTATGATATAGATATCATTTATCCTTTTGTAGATGTACTGTTTCATCTCAAGGTTGGTGCCACTTAAATGGGTTCCTGTTGCAAGGAATTTGAGAAGCCTCCTCCTCCATTTGCAGGATATCAAGGGCTCCCAGACATCATGTGGAGGTTTCCATTTAAGATATAGCACGAGCCAGGTGGTGGTGGTACACGCTTTTAATCCCAGCACTAGGGAGGCAGAGGCAGGCTGATCTCTGTGAGTTTGAAGCGAGCCTGGTCTAAAAGAGCTAGTTCCGGGACAGGCACCAAAACTGTGGAGAAACCCTGTCTCAAAAAAAAAAAAAAAAAAAAAAACAAGACATAAAGATACAACATGAATCAAGAACAAAGGTACTGTGTGGACCCCTCCCTGGGCAGTGCAGAAAACAAAAAAAGTGTTTTTGTTGTTTTTATTTTGGGTTTTTTGTTGTCTTTTTTCAAGACAGGGACAGGGTTTCTCTGTGTAGCCTTGCCTGTCCTGGAACATTGGAACATTCTCTGTAGACCATGCTGGGTTCAAACTCACAAAGATCCACCTGTCTCTGCCTCCCTCCTGAGTGCTGGAATTAAAGGCATGTGCTACCACAGCCTCAAATGTGTTTTGTTTTTTGTTTAAAGACAGGTCTTGTTAGAATACTCCTGCTTCAGGCGCCTACAGAATTGCTGGTATTATAGGATTCTCTATCATGTGTGGGTTTTCCAGTATGATTTACAACGAAAACCCAAAACTGCTTGTAGAAAATTCTTGTGCCTAGGAAGATGGTTTGGCTGGCAAAGTTTACCATGCAAATATTTGGCTTATATTCTGATCTCCAGTGTCTATGTAATGTGGCAGTGTGTACCTAGAACCTAGCAATGGGGAGGACCCATGGAACTCATTACCTAGCTTTGTCCAGCCAAAAATCAGTAAGTTCCACATTCAGCCAGAGAGGCAGAGGCAAGATCTATGAGTTCAAGGCCAGCCTGGACTACAAAAGTAGTTCCATGACAGCTGAAGCTACATAGATTCTTCTGCTGGGGAATATTATTTTTAGGTGTGTGACTTTTGTTTACGCTGCATTTGTTTTAACGCTGTGAAGCTGTGTTACCGTGCCTGTCTAAAACTCCTGATGGTCCTAATAAAGAGATGAGCGGCCAGTAGCAAGGCAGGAGTCAATATAGGCGGGGCTAGCAGGCAGAATATAAATAGGAGAGAGAACTAGGAGCAAGAGAACAAGGAAAGGATGACATCAGGGGCCAGCCACCCTGCCAGCCATGGAAAAAGAAGAAAGATACAGAAGAAAGAAAGGTAACAGCCCAGAGGGTAAAGGTAGTCAGGAAAATTTAAGATAGGAAAACTGGCTAGAAACAAGCCAAGCTAAGGCTGGGCATTCATAACTAAGAATGAGCCTCTGTGATTTATTTGGGATCTGGGAGGCGGGCTTCCCAAAAAGCCAAAAGAGCAAAACTATCACACAACAGATACTCAATGGCCTTCGTGGGAACCTAAAATCTATTATGATGTAGTGTGTTTCTCAAAGTGCAGATCCATCTAAATCATACGGAGCATTTACTTAAAATACAGATCCTAAATATACATACACATCAGATTCTTGGATACTGCCAAAGGTCTACTGAAGAGAGGACTTCTGGATGTATACCCAGGTATTACCAATGTATTTAGTGCCTGCATCTTTTATGGCGTTCACTAAGAAAAAGCCATCTGTTTACCTGTTTTATCCTCCGATAGGACTATGAACTTTAAGGTAGACATTGTGCTAACCACTTTTGTGTTCCGAGGTCAGAGTGGGCACATGAATGACTAGAGTTCACAAAGGGTGCTTCCCTGGACACTTGCGATTTGAGAGAGGCTTCCAAGAGTAACAGAAGCAAAACTATTTTCGTGGAACCATGACAATCACAGCTAAGGTCGTGTTCATCTTTGGCTACATAGTGAGTTTGAGGCCTGGGATACCTAAGAGCCTATCTCAAAAGAAAATAATAAACTATTTTAAAACTCAAGCAATGCCGGCGATGGTGGCACACGCCTTTAATCCCAGCACTCGGAAGGCAGAGGCAGGTGGATCTCTTTGAGTTCGAGACCAGCCTGGTCTACAGAGCTAGTTCCAGGACAGGCTCCAAAGCCACAGAGAAACCCTGTCTTGAAAAACAAAACAAAAACAAAACAAAACAAAAAAAACCTCAAGAAATAACAAAGGAAACTCACAAATAAATCCAAGATATATTAGATAAATTTTAATGGTATCAAGATATGAGAAATTTGTTAATATGTTTTCAGATTCCAAATCGCAACTTACTATTGATAAACATCACTTGTGGGGCTGGGTGTACAGCTTAGGCAAGAGGCAGAGCTCTTGCCTAGGCCTGGAGACCTCACTCGGCAGTTAAGAGCAACTGCTGCTCTTGCAGAGCTCCAAAGTTTACATTCACCTGCGACTCCAGTTCCAGGGGATCTGATGCCTCCTCTCCTCCACAGGCACTAGGTGCATACATGATGTACACACATACTTGTAGACAAAACATAGACACAACGTAAAATAACCTTTAAAAAGTAAATGCCGGGGACTGGGGAGATGGCTCAGAGGTTAAGAGCACCTGAGTTCAATTTGGAGCAATGGCGTGGTGGCTCACAAGCATATGTAATGAGAAAAGACGCCCTCTTCTGGCCTGTAAGGATATATGCAGGCAGAATACTGCATATATAAGTAAATATTTTAAAAGGCAGCGATTATTTTTTTTTAAAAAGTAAATCCCCCCCCCACACACACACACAAAGGAGATGGTGCTGGTGGAATGGCCTAGAGCGACTGGACTGCCCAGCATGCACAATCTCTTGTGACCTGAGTTTGGTCCTCAGGACCTGTATGGTGAGAGGAAAATCGACTCCTGCAAGTCGTTCTCTGACCTCACACATGAAGCCACACACGCATGCCACACACACATACACACAAATACATGAATGTTAAGTCTACAGAGTGAGTTCCAGGACAGCCAGGGCTACACAGAGAAACCCTGTCTCGAAAACCCCAAACTAACCAACCAAACAACAACAAAAAAACAATTTAAAAAGTAAACTTGTGGATATTTGGGTTTAGCTGCTGATTTGTACGGTATTAACATATTAATGTGATAAAAAATGTTCACGTTCGCTCAGTTTCTGAAAATGCTTCAAATCCTTGCCTTATAATCAAGTTAGAAAATACTAAAGCATTTTGTTTTTCCTTCCCGTGGCACCTGCCAGCCGGGCGCTTCAACAACAAGCCACAGCTGGGATTATGTGAACCTCCTCCACCAGGTTACACCACCTAGGACAAAAATACCTCTAGCTTCCACATCCTGCCAGACGCACCTCTGTGCTTTCAGAGGTGCTCTTTGGGTAACCTCTCGATCTAGATTTCGGGGGAGAGGAGAGACAGGGAAGAGAGGAGAAAGGAGGAGGAGAGAGGAAGGGAGAGAAGCGGGGGAGATCAGGAAAGGAGAAAGGGAGGGAGGAAGGTAGAGAGGGGATAGGGGGAGAAGGGGAGAGAGAGTGGCGCTAGCTAAACCTTAGGAGAATGCCAGATACCAGCGGCCTGCTGCCCTCCAGCCTGCCTTCAACCCTTCCTGTCGAGTGATCCTTCATCCCTGTGTCCCGCATCCCTGTGTCCTCCATCCCCGGAGTCCGGCCCATTAGGTGTCGTCAGGACCCCCCAGGGGTCAGGATGCCCGAGTCCCCTCCGGGAAGCGCCGAGCAGCCCCTGTGGGTCCAGAAGGGTCACGTCGGCGTCTCCTCCCTCAGCGCCGCCGCTCCCGGGCCGCCCCGCCCGTACCCCACACCGCCAGCGCGTGCCCAGCGCGTGCCCGGCGTCCGACGCCTGCCCGCAGGAGGCGCTACATCTCGCGCGAGCCCCGCACCTCTCGCGACACTTCGGCTGGTCCTCCGGTGCCTCAGGTCCTCACCGGGCGAGCCGCCTCCGTCAAGGCACGGCAGTCGCCACTGCGGGAGCGACTCGGCGGAGCGGAGCCCGCGCTGCGGGGGTTTGGGGCGCGGCCGCAGGCTCCGCCCGCTCGCTCCACCCGGGTTGGGAGGTAGGCTGCGGCGGGGACATGCCCCGGCTCCCTGGGCCAGGGCCGAGAGCGCGAGCGGCGGCGCTGCAAGCGAGTCCAGGTCGGCGCGGGGCACCCGGGCCGGAGCGGGCCGGGTGGGGACGGGGGTGGGCTCCGGTGTCCTCTGGACCCCACGGCTTCCGTGGGCGGCTCGGCTGCGCCCTGTCGGGGCGCGGGGCCTGGAGCTGGCGGCAGGAGTCGGTCAGGAGTGAGGGCAGGCCGAGGCTCTCGGGGATAACGGGGAGGCCTGGGGAGCGTTTGTCCCCGCTCTCGGTTTTGCGGTCAGACCGTGCCCCGCGGGGGCAGGGATGCTGCTCAAGCATCTCCACGCAGGGCTTTGGGTTCAGCATTGATGTGATGTCTGCGGTGCTAGTTCACTCGGCGTTTGAGTCTTGCAGCGGTGCAAACTCCTCTGTCATTCTCCGCGGAGGGGGCTGTTGAGGTCACCTGTTACTTTGCACCCGAAACTTGGGTTCCCAGTCTCCGTGGGCTGGTGAGCAACTGTGGCTGCAGGCAGAGTCCTGTTTGGGCGTTAAATGTACCACAGTCCCTATTGAAGAACACTTGCTGGATCAGCCAAAATGATTCTTAAGTGACTACTTGTGTGTTTCATATTTTTAAGATTCGAATAGTTAAATAAATGTGTAATCGTAATGTGTCAGAGGTTTTAAGCTACCTGTTATAAGTATATGACACACTGTATGCCGCCATACTTGGAAGCAGTAGATTTTCAGCCTTTGGTGCTACGTTTAGGTTGAAGATTATGGTGAAATATCTTGTTACAATCAGTCTTGACCGTGTGTTTCTTGAAATTTCTGTGTGTTAAAGAGCTCATTATCTGACCATATGTTTTAGTTTTCTAAGAATTGGGAGCTCGGAGCAGAAGGGTGAAGCTGAACATTTTGTTTCCCTTCCCCCAAATAATTTTACATTTTTGTTTTAAGTTATGTAACTTTTATAATTTGTTGTTCGTTTTCAAGAATGGCTTCCAAAAGATGATCATTTCGTCTGAGTGGCGGGGGTGGGAGGGCGGGGACACGCGTGAAATTTTACAGCAAAATAATTCTGATATTTTGTGTTCCAGAGCAAAATGTCATCAGTGGACTCACACCAGGAGCAGCTGTCCCAGTCAGATCCCTCCCCTTCATCAAACTCCTCCAGTTCCTTTGAGCTGATCGACATGGATGTTGGCAGCCTGTACGAACCTGTCTCTTCACATTGGTTTTATTGTAAGATGATAGATTCTAAGGAGCTATGGATCCCTTTCAACTCCGACGACTCCCAACAGCTCGAAGAGGCTCATGGCTCTGGTAAGAAGAAAATGGCCTCTAATCTCTCAAACTAAAAAGTAATGGTCCTTACTGCCATCGCTATTAAAGTTACATTTTAGGAGCTTTGCATTTTTTGTTCTTTGAAAACTACGCTAAATTTCTGCATATCATCCAGTATTTTCTGTATTCTAGCTTGTGTTTGAGTTTTGACTTGGAACGTGTGTCTGGAGTCAGGTGTCACACTGCAGAATGAACTAACATGTCATTTGTTCTCGTCTCGTGAGACGGGAATAGTGTTGTTTATGGTATAGCATTATGGTTGTCGTTAATTTACCCTTTTATCTCTCAAGCAAAAACTTCAGAAAAATCTCTGTGTATGTGTGTATCTGTGAGTGTGAGAGTGTGTGTGTGTTGTGTAAGTGGGTGTGTAAGAGGCATTTATTGTCTAAGAAAAACTGTTCAGGGAGTATTTTTTCTTTAAAATATGATTGGTTTTTTTTTTATGATTGGTTTTTTGACATTTCTAAGAAAAGTCGTTCATGAGAAAGGTATGAACTAAATTCCATTTGCTTTAATATGTCACCAAGTAGAAACTTTATGTTTCATGTGAAACAAGAGTGTAACTTAGGGTTTTATTTTGGGAGAGTTACTGTGGCATACTGCACTTCATTTCTCTTTTGCAACTCTTGCTAGGGAAAGATTGTAATGAGAGAGTTGTTCCCACGGATGGGGGCAGATATGACGTTCACTTAGGGGAAAGGATGCGGTATGCTGTGTATTGGGACGAACCGCCATCAGAAGTGAGACGATGTACTTGGTTTTACAAGGGAGACAAAGACAATAAATACGTTCCCTACTCAGAGAGCTTCAGCCAAGTTTTGGAGGTATTCATCTGCTTCTGGTTTACTTACCATTTTCTTCATGTTCTCTTCTGTCATTTACTTTTTGTTGTTGTTTTAATTCTTCTAACATATTTTGTATACTTCCAGGAAAAATTTGCCTGCTTTTATATCATACTTTATGTAGTTTCTCTTTGCAAGTTAGTTTCATGGTAAAGTTTTAATTTTAGATTTTAAATTGTATAGAAATTGTATTATACCAGTTGGGTGCTAGTAGTGAATGCCTTTAATCCTAGCACTAAGGAGGCAGAGAGCAGCCGGATCTCTGAGTTCAAGGCCACACAGAAAAGCGAGGACTAAACAGAGAAATCCTGTCTTGAAAAACCAAAGAAAAAAAAAGAGAAAAAAAAATTGTATTATACTTCTTAAGTGAATATAAATGTTTCCCTAATGGTAATTATTGTTAACATTTACAATATGACCAAAAACAATCTTTGATTTTTGAGACAGGGTTTTTCTGTAGGTCTGGAGCCTATCCTAGAACTTGCTCTGTAGTCCAGGCTGGCCTCGAACTCACAGAGATACACCTGCCTCTGCCTCTTGTGTGCTGGAATTTAAAGTTGTGCGCCACCACCGCCTGGTGCAATCTTTTATCTTTATTTTTTAATTAATTTTTTTTAAAAATATTTTTTATGGTTTTTATTTAATGTGCATTGGTGTGAAGGTGTCAGATCCCCTGCAACTGGATCTTCAGACAGTTGTGAGCTGCCATGTGGGTGCTGGGAATTGAACCCAGGTCCTTTGGAAGAGCAGTCAGTGCTCTTAACCACTGAGCCATCATTTCTCCAGCCCCCAATTAATTAATTTTTTGAAACAAGATTTCTTTGTGTAGTTCTGGGTGTTCTAGAACTTGCTGTGTAGCCAAGATGGCCTCAAACTCAGATCTGTCTTCCTCTGCCTTCCAAGTGCTAGGACTAAAGGTATGCATCATGACTCATAACTGTAGCGAGCTGCGTGGTGTCACACCTGATGGAGATGTATAATCAACTCCTATGGCTAAAGTCTGACTTATGCCTGATCACACAATGATCATCAGCTGCTTGCATGCGTGTGCCTATGGGCAATGCCCACCTGGCAATCGGGGATTGGCAGCCCATGCCTACTTAAGGGCTGGGAGAGGTTTGCCCAGGAGGACAGAGAGGAAGGAAAGAGGAGAGGAGAGGAGAGAAAGAGAAGAAGGAGATAGATTGCTGTGAATAAAGTCCTGGAATAAACTGCAGTGAGAAGAGCTCCAGTGGTCGCGTCTTCCTTGCTGGACGAGGTGGGGCGCGAAACATAACCATTTTTAAAATTTTTTATTTTAATGAGTGTTTTGCCTGTGTGTAAGGGTACCATATGTGTCCAGTGCCCAAAGAGGTCAGAAGGAGTTGTGTCCTCTGGAACTAGAGTTATAGATGGTTGCGAGCTGTCATATGGGGCTGGGAATTGAATGCAGGTCCTTTACAAGAGCAGCCAGTGCTCTTAACCACTGTGCTTTTTCTTTAGTGTGTTTTTCTTGCTCTGAGAAATAATGCTGGTCTTGAACTCGAAACAGAATGTTTCTGACCTGTGTGTCAATATGAATAGTGATAGAATTCAAAGTAGTATTTTTTTTTGTTTTAATCTGTTGTTATTTGTTTGTCTTTTGCTAGAGACAGGGGTGTTTTGTTTTGTTTTGTTTCTTGAGACAGAGTCTCACCTACCCCAGACCGGCCCTAAACTTGATAGGTATTTGAAGGTGGCTTCAATTTCTGATATTCCTGCTTCTACCACCTTGGATTTTTGGAATCCATCACTATGCTCGGTTTTATGCCTTGCTGCGGATAGAATATAGGCTTTTTATATTCTAGGCAAGCACTCTTACCTTTTTGAGACACTGCATGTTTGTGAGACAAGGTCTTAATTGTGTTTCTCTGGCTGACCTCAGATTCACAGTAATCATGTTTTAGCCTTCTAAATGCTGGGATTACAGGTATAGTCCACACTTGGCTGCTGGTCATTGTAAAAGAATGTCCATTGAGGGGCTGGAGAGATGGCTCAGTGCTTAAGAGCACTGGTTGCTTTCAGAGGACCCAGGTTCAGTTCTCAGCACCCACATCGCAGCTCACAGCTGTTTGTGACTCTAGTTCTAGGGGACCTGATCTCCTCACACGGACAGACATGCAGGCACAACACCAACGCACATAAAATAAAAATAAATAAAAAATTGTTTAAAAAATTAAAAATGTTAATGAGCTGGGGAATATAGGTCAATGGCAGAGTGCTTGTCTAATATATGCAAGGCCAGGATTACACTATCAAGAGTTTTAAAATGAATTGGTTAAGTTGTAGAATGATTTTCTTGTTGGAATTCATTAATAAGTTCAGGTTTAACAAAAAGTACTTAGAAAGTATAATATTTTATTTATATTATAAAATTTTATTTTAAGGAAACATACATGGTTGCTGTAACTTTGGATGAATGGAAAAAGAAACTAGAATCTCCAAACAGAGAAATTATTGTATTACACAACCCAAAGGTAAAGTGAATAAAAGCATGTTACTGAGAATAAGATCAAAGGTTAAGATATTACTAAGCAAAACCATTATCTTTTGTTCTGTGGACGCCACATAGGATAACCTTTGGCATAGTTGATATTAAATTCACTATTTCAAAAGTTATTAATACTTATAGTCATTATTTACTCCATTCAGGTTTTACATAAGAATTTTATACATGTATGGTGTAGTCATTAATATATTGTGTCTGTGTGTGTATGATTTGTGTACGATGTATGTGTGAATGTGGGTGTGCACATACAGCAGTGTGTTTGTTGAAGTCAGAGGACAGATGTGAATGTCAGTCGTGTTCTACCTGGAGACAGCGCTCTTCATTGTTAGCTAGTCCACAGACCTTTAAGGCTTCTCTGTCTCTATTTTCCAGAACCTGTGCTCTGCCTCCCAATTCAAGAGCATTGGTATTAAGATGCTTGTGCTATTGTGTCCATCACTCACGGTCTCTAGGGTTTTATTTAACTCAGTTCCTACACTATGATAACAGTGAGTGCTTTGCCCAATGAGCCATTTCCCCAACCCTAAATAATTTTTTTTTTTTTTTTTAATTTTCGAGACAGGGTTTCTCCCTAGCTTTTGGTTCCTGTCCTGGAACTAGCTCTTCTAGACCAGGCTGGCCTCGAACTCACAGAGATCCACCTGCCTCTGCCTCCCGAGTGCTGGGATTAAAGGCACGCGCCACCACCGCCCGGCTAAATAATTTTTTTTAGGGAAAATTATGCCACTATAGATTAAGAAAACCATCTACATTATGTAAGCATGTCTTTCATGTATAGGGTTTTTTTTTAAGACAGTGTCTCAACTATGGAGCCTTGGTTGGCCTCAAACTCATTATATAGGTCATACTAGCTATGTAGACCAAGCTGACTCAAACTCACAGAAATTCTTGCTTCTGCCTCTTTAATGCTGGAATTAAAAGCATGCACCACCACACCTGGCCCATGCATAGGATATTATTGAAATATGATCTAATGTATTTTCAGAGTTCTCATCTTAGTCTATAGGAGTTACATCTCAAAGTTGCAGTTGAGGTTTGGTATATGAAAGATGTGTTTCTGTCATTCAAAATGTATGGAATCATAAGTCAATGTAGACTATGTTACTCTGATCTTTTCTGTTCAAGCTCATGGTGCATTACCAGCCAGTTGCAGGGGCTGATGAATGGGGTTCAACCTCCACAGAGCAAGGGCGACCAAGATCAGTAAAAAGAGGAGTTGAGAACATCCCTGTTGATATTCACTGTGGTAATGTTAATCATTATTTTCTCTTATGTTCTGATTTGTTGGTTTATTGTTTAAATTGTGACCTTTATTCTTTGGTGTTACATTACTTTGAACCTTAAAAATGGTCTTTAATTATATGGCCTTATTCTAAATTAAGAGCAATATTTCATCAGTTGTTTGGGTTTTAGTTGTTTGTTTTTAGCAAAGGGTCTCATGTAGGTTAGGGCTGGCCTCCAATTTGTTTTGTAGCTAAGGATGACTTTAAAGTTTTGGTACTCCTGCATCTATCCCTCTTGTGCTGGGAGTGCAGGTGTGCCTCAGCCACACCCAGTTTATGTTGTACTGGGGATCAAACCTAGGGCTTCCCTGCACGTGGTAGTGCACATCACAGCTCCAGCAGAGGCTAGTGGATCTCTGAGTTTGAGACTCGCCTGATCTGCATAGATCTCAAACAACCAGCCAACCCACCTAGGACTTGGTGTGTGCTAGGCAAGCATTCTGCCGATTGAAGTACTTCTGGGTAATGTGAATGTTCAGGTGCTTGTGTCCAGAAGCATAAATGGGGAGACCAATAGGTATGTTCACTGAACCAGAAGCTCACTGTGTAGGCCGGCCTGGCCGACCAGTGAGCTCTGAGAACTGTCTGCACTCTCCAGTGGTGGGGATGCAAGCATGGGCAGCTGTGCACTGATTTTTATTTGGGTGCTGGAGATCGAAACTCAGGTCTCCATGCTCTTGCACTCTTCCCAACCAAGCCACCTCCTCAGCTCTGGGTTTTGATTTTTGTTTGTTTTTCTTTTGGTCCCTAGTCTCTGAACCATTTATTTCTCAGAAATACAGAATGCTTCACAAATTTGTGGGTTATTGTTGTGGAATATTATTTTAAGGTGTGTTATGGTTCTTCGTGCTGCTTTTTATAATGCAAAACATGCATTTGTTTGATTAAATAGAATTTTAAAAATGCAAAAGACATTTGTTCTATTAAGTGAAATTAACCTGGGAGGAGGCTGCATCAGCAACTAGCTGACAGGAAGTGGTAGGGAGCAACCAGGTGTAGCAAGTGTTCTTAAGTGGGAGCTGAGAGAAGGTCTCATGGGTTTTTTGGGAGACGATAGTAAGGAGAAGGTGGTTTGCTAGTTGCGATTCAGTCTCTCTCAGCTAGCAGAATTCCACCTCAACCTTTGAATCCTGATTTCTACAAACAAGTAGGGATCTAGATAATGTTTCCCTCAGTGGCATTACAGAGTTGCAGTTGTGGATTAGGACAGCACTTGCTTAAGGGGCAGCCACTGAGTTGGGTGAAAAACAGCCAGCAGGCTATCCTTACAAAGGGGCATGCTAGTCTTCTCTGTATTGATCCAGTTTCAGCATATGTGCTACTGAAGTGAATTCTGGCTTTTTATTCTTTTTGGGTTTGTTTTTCTTCTGTAGCTTTGGAACCTGTCCTGGTACTCTCTCAGTAGACTGGCTGGCCCTGAACTCACAGAGATTAGCCGCCTTCTGCCTCCTGAGTGCTGGGATTAAAGGCGGTGCACCGCCATCGCCTGAACACTTTTTTTTTTCTTTTTTGAGGTGTGGTCTCACTGTATAATTCAGGCTGGTCTACTCCAGTGCTGGAATCACGGGTATATGTACATCAGCCTCACTGTGCATACTGTGACAGCAGAAGACTCATCGACAGTCATGTCTCATCAAGAAGCCACTGTATAAAAGGAACTGATTTAGTTCAGTTTTATGAAGTTTGTTTCCTCCTGATTAACTAGAAATTAGTTTTTGGTAATTTCTGTCCTTGATTTTCAGCTAAGGGAAACTTTTTCAGAAGAAATTTAATGGTTATTGCTAGCTACCTATGGTCACTTATGGCTAATTTTAAACATATTTAGCTAGATTATACAGTGTTTTTTCTCGTGCAGAAGAAATTATTTGTTTCTTGAACAAAATCTTAGAATTATTGTAATTTAAAAGACAAATTGAAGCCAGGTATAGTGGCACATACTGTAATCTCAGCACTCAGGAGGATCTCCGGTTTGACCCATTGTGGGCTTCGTAGTGAGTGCCAGGCTAGCTTGCAGTTTATAAAAGCAACTCTCTCAAAAACAGCAAATTAGCTGGGCTGTGGTGGGGCACACCTTTAATTCCAGCACTTGGGAAGCAGAGGCAGGCAGATCCCTGTGAGTTCAAGGCCAGCCTGGCCCACAAAGCTAGTGCCAGTACAGCTAGGGCTGTTACACAGAGAAACCCTGTCTCGAATAACCAAGAGAGAGAGAGAAAAGAAAATTAAATTAAAGTTATTTCTTTTTTAAGATTTATTTATTATGTATACAACATTCTGCCTCGATGTATGCCTGCACGCCAGAGGAGGGTGCCAGATCTCAGTACAGATGGTTGTGAGCCACCATGTGGTTGCTGGGAATTGAACTCAGGACCTCTAGAAGAGCAGCCAGTGCTCTTAACCTCTGATCCATCTCTCCAGCCCCCGGGTTAGTATATTCTTATTTTTTTTTTTAAATTTATTTATTTATTATGTATACAACATTCTGCCTCGATGTATGCCTGCACGCCAGAGGAGGGTGCCAGATCTCAGTACAGATGGTTGTGAGCCACCATGTGGTTGCTGGGAATTGAACTCAGGACCTCTAGAAGAGCAGCCAGTGCTCTTAACCTCTGAGCCATCTCTCTAGCCCCCTAAATTAAAGTTAAAAAGGATTCAGGGCATAATAACTCACGTCTTTAATCCCAACACTTAGGTTGCAGATCTCTGAATTCAAAGCCAGCCTAGTCTACATAGTGAGTTCCATGACAGCTACAGCTATGTAGAGAGATGCAGTCTCTACCCTCCCTCCCCAAAGAAGATAAACTTAAAATTTCAGCCTTTAAAACCATGACAGACATTATTGGAATGATTGGTAAGAGTAGAACAATTAGATAAGAAGAATGTATCAATATGTAGATTTGGTCACTGTACTGTTACACAGAGGTACATTCTGAGGAAGCATGAAACCTAGTGATGAAGTCAGTTTACTTTCAGATAATTCAGAAAAATAAATACTTGTGTATCTATACACCCAAGAAGAAAGCAGAGTAAAATTAATATGATTATGAATTTGTAACTGGAATTTGGTGGTGGTCTATGCTTGTGATCCTAGGATTTGGGAGGTGGAGGCAAGAGGATCAGTTGAAGGTTAGTCTCAACTCCTCACTAAGTTCAGGGTCAGCTTGGGCCAGACACAAGGTCAAACCAAAACACTAAAGCAAAGAAATTTGGGTTTTTTAAAAGTGCATGGGGGTTTCTTAGTATTTTTTTCTATAGCTTACAGTTACTTCAAAATAGTTTTAAAACCTGGAAAAAAAATCTTCAAGGACATTTTAAAGAATACTTAAAGTCCCAGCATTCATGAGGCAGATAGTTGGATTGCTATGAGTTCGAGGCTAGCTTGAACTACATATGTAAGACTTTAAGACAATCCTGAAGCCATTTTTGACAATTCTGAATCCTCTCAGCCTCTGTGCCATAGTGCTTCCCCTCCTCCCCTGGGAACCAAGGACCTAACAGCTACACT